GTGCGGCATTAGGAGTGTTATCGCTCTGAGAGGCATAGCTAGGGATATAGGTCTTTGTGTTGTCAACTGTTTAGAGTAACTGTCCCATATGGATAGCGTTAAGGAGGTGGTTTGTAAGCAATTTGCACTGGATGTTATGGCATGCGGGGGTCTTTTCCCATTCCAAACAAATTTAGATACCCAGTATTGCAGTGTGTTAAAGTATGTGGAGGGAACCTTTACTGGTAATGATCGGAACATGTATTGCAGTTTTGGGAGTATTATCATTTTGGTGGCTGCAATGCGTCCGGTCCATGAGATGAACATGGGTTTCCATTCCTGCAATAGGAGTTTTATTTCCCCCAAGAGTTTGCTGTAATTGCCCTGAAAGAGGTTGGCAAGTTTCTTTGGGAATGCATTTCCTAAAAAGATGATGTGGGCTGTTCGCCAGTCATAGTTACATGTTCGTTTCAGTATTTGTAAGGTTTCTAATGATACCCTTACACAATGCTTGGGTCTTGGACACATTCAATTTATAGTAGGAGTGCTGCTATTTTTTAACCAATTAACACAAACTGCATGTCAACGTGTCTGCAATATACTTTATTTCTTAAGTTAATGTGGAGCTTAGACAGTCTATGTATAATATAATAAAAACATTTGTGAAAAAGCACACACACAAAAAAAAAAAAGTCAGACACCTGCTATTTTCTTTTTTTTAAAGCCAGAGTGTGGTATCCTCATAACAGAGAAAGTTCAAGCACCTGTGGCTTGAAGAAAGGCTTAAGAACATGAGAAAGGCAATATCTTTATAATAAATTGATAACTCTGGGTGGTCAGCGATCCTTAATCACTGGAAGATGAAGGTTACATCATGTCTACAGCATGTGTTCTGAAGCAGCCAAAAGGAAGAGGAAGTTTTTTTGTAGCAGGAGGTTATCTCTTCTGTTTCAGCAGGTCGAGGTTAATGGTGGCTTGGTCTCGGTCACTGGAACAATCAGTAAAGGAGAGTAAAATTGAGAGCATCTCTGTGCTTTTCCCACAAATCTAAGAAAAAACAGAACAGAAGATTGAGGATGGTGGTTAAATTAAGGAAGCTTCAAACAAAACGTTAAAAAAATGTTTATGAAATGTTTATCCTATGGTTCCCCCTAATAATAAATGTGCGGTTGCAGCAGGTCACATTGTAAGCCCTGATTGGGTAATTTCCAAATGGCTGAGACTTGCTTGCAAGGCAATCATGCAATCCCTGGAACTCCTGGGAGAGCACCATGCACAGGGTAAGCGGTTAAGTATTTGTTCGGTCTCAAATTAATTTGTCTTTGTAGCGGAGCTCCCTGTGCAAGGACCACTTGATAGCTGGAATCGGGGGAAACTGCCACTCTTCTGCTCCAGTTGCCGTGGCTTGACTGGGCTTCTCCTGGAGCCTCTCCATCCTGGAACAGGATTGGGGACTAGCTCTATTCCCTTCCAGGGACTGGACGAGACATATACAATAACCCCACAAATAATACATCCCTAAATAGCCCTGATCTGAGTGCCCAAGTTCTCCAAATAGCGCTCAGATCCAGGGGAAACGCCACCGTGTTAACGTTCTGACTGACCGCACACGTGGTCCTATGTCCAAAAATTCGGTTCCATTCACGAGACAAAGTTTGCTACTTACCTTAATAATCTGACTGTCCGATACATCAAGATCTTCTACTTTCTTGTGAAGTTTGCCCAAGCAAAGTGTCTGAGTAATCAAAAAGCAAAAACTGTTATTAAGGGGTTTCTGAAGAATTGGTTACATGTACTGGTCAGTATTCCCTTGAAGCAGTGCTGACAAGGCATTTGCCTTGGGCGTCACTTTCAGGGTCCGGCAAAAAAAGCCGCCTCCCTAACACCCTGGCAGCCTCTTTTCCTGGGGGACCCACAAGCTGGCCACCTCAATATCTCAACTGTTATGCCTAGAGCAGCACAAAACCAGAATACACCAGTACCTTGAAGCATATATGTACGTTTGTGTGTAGACATAACAAAGGTACAAATGTTTATATGTATGACTCCCCTTCCCATGTTACATTTTATTGTAATCCTCTATTCTTGTTATATTATATATGCAAATAAAACCATTGTCAAGATAAACTGTACATCTGCATGTACGCCACACCACGAATTATAAGGTTAAGAAAAAGCTCTAAAAAGGAGATCAAACTATGTATATTTGCACAAAACAAAGCGGACCGGTTATGCCTCCTCTCTGTAGCCAGAAGCTCTCAAAACTGAGCTAAGCCCAGTGGTACAGCGGTTAGCTCACTGGTAAAGTGAGATCAGCTGATGCTCTCTTCCCATAAACTGGCCCTGCACTGTGGGGCTTAGCTCAGGAATGCTAAGCTTCTGGCTCTCACTTCCTATTAAGAGAAGGCAAGATATCAGACCATTAGCAAACTGTTTCACTACTTAGACAATTGCAAATTAAGTCTTGGCACAAGTCTTAACCAGAGTTTTAAGCTGCTAATTAACTACATATATCTTACAGTGCAATGAATTTCCAGCACTTCATTTTGTCTAACTGGGTTTTTCACTAAAGTAAGAGTTTAAGGTTAAAATAGCTCAACTGGAAAAATGTTTTTAGTTCAGCTACTCTGGCCTTAAGTTTGAAGTTCACTTAGAAATTCACTTTAGTAAATAAGCCTGTAAGAAATGCATGTTGAATATAAACAATGTTTATAAATCACTTTACACATTGAAAATTTACACATTGAAATGATTTAAAATCATGTTTCCGGCGCAATGATTGAATCTGTGTGGATTTGGAGTATGAATACAATCTTGTCTGACAAAGTTTCCATGCATTGTGTGATATAACTCACCATTATACTGAAGGCACTAGCTATTTCAAGTTGTGCCTCCATTACATATTTCACAGGGGTCTTCACTGCACTGATGGTTCTTCTCCTCTGGAAAAATGATAGTTGAAAGCTGTAAGAGAAAAAAATAAAAAAATAAAAATGTTTTAAAAAGTTCTAATTAATAGTAACACAATAAAGTATGAAGGAAAAAAAGTTAGTTACATGTGCACACCATCTTTAAATAGTGTTAATAGAACACTATAGGATCAGGAACACAAAGGTGTATTCCTGACCATATAGTATTAAAACCGCCATCTAGCCACACCCCTTGCCTCCCTAAATAAAGTAAAATCTTACTTGTATTTAAGTCTGCATCTGCTGGCTCTGCCCCTGTCTCTTGAAATCAGAAGTGGTGGTCTGAGCCAATCACAATGCTTCCCCATAGGATTGGCTGAGACTGTCAAAGAGGCAGATCAGGGGCAGAGCCAGCACAAGGCAAACACAGCCCTGACCAATCAGCATCTCCTTATAGAGATGAATTGAATCAATGCTAGGAGGAAAGTTCAGTGTCTGCATGCACACCACTGAATGGCAGTGCTTCTTACTCTGCGGCACTGCCCAAGGAAGCAGCTTTAGCAACCATCTAATGAGTGGCCAGTGAAGTTATCACTAGGCTGTAATGTTTTCTCTGAAAAGACAGTGTTTACAGCAAAAAGCCTGAAGGTAATGATTCTACTCACCAGTACAAATACAATAAGCTGTAGTTGTTCTGGTGACTATAGTATCCCTTTAACAAATAACTGCCCAGTGTTATTGAATAAAGCAAGCAGGAACAGGTGAGATCTGTATATACGAAGACAATATATATACTAAAGGCAAATATATTACTGTAGCTGTGATAGGGAAAAAAAAAAAAACACCCCACAACAACAACTCACCGGCAGATCAACAGGAGCTACGGCGGCGAAAACGGTCTCCCTCCCATACATCAAAAGAAACGGTGAATATTTGGTCGCGGTTTGGACCTTCGATCTTATTGAAAATAATGTTGCGTCCAAATACTCATCCCAGTTATTTTGTTTGTCATGTACCAATTTAGCAAGAGCTCTAGAATGAAAAGAAAAAGCAAGATAAAACACATGTACACTCTTGGAAAGAATGCAGAATTCATAGCTCAACACCAATAGAAACAAGTGGCATGCAAAAATAATATTTCTATATTCACCAGAACAATTACAGCTTAATTTAGTTGTTCTTGTGTGAATAGGTGGTCCCTGCAGGATTTTTAATATAGTAGTAATGTATTTAATGTAAATGAATGTACATTAATTTTTAATGTAGTCGTCTTTCTATTACTACCTAGGAACACCACTAGTGGCAGTCACTCAGATGGCCACTAGATGTGCTTCCTGGGTCAGTGCAGCACGAACATTCAGCGCCTCCATGGCGTGGAGAGGCTGAACATTAGTCAGAGATGCATTGATTCAATGCATCTCTGAGGAAATGCTGAATGGTGCAGCGCAGCGGATGCGCAATAGCCTCCTGATGCTTTTCCATAGGATTGGCTGAGATAATGTTCAAAGACCTGCACAGCGCTGGAAAAAGGTGAGTAAAAAATCACCTTTTAAAAAGTAAGCAGTAGGGGGCCAGGAGCCAAAAATGTTTAACACTATAGTGTCTGGAATACAGGTTTGCATTCCTGACACTATAGTGTTCCATTAAGTGAAACCTGTGGAGCAAAGTTCTAATAAAAACAGGAATAAAAACAAAACTTGCCGCTTGATATTATCATTAGTTTTCTCATCGAGGTTGTTGGTGTGTGGGTGATATGCTGCTGTTACACTTCTTTCAATTCCTAGAAGAGTGCACATCTGGTCGTTGAGCTAAAAAAAAATAAAAATAAAAAAAATCAACCAATATATAAAATTTTAATAAACCAACAGATTACAAGATCATTTTAACAAAAACAATAGTAAAAAGAGAGTACACATACTTGACTGACAAACTCTCTGCCCTGGTCGGAAAGTATTCGCTTGGGACAACCATGTCGATAGATCATGGAGCAAACATGGCGTCCCACCTCGGCAGCAGATTTTGTTTTCAGAGGAAAAGCCTCCACCCACTTCGAAAAATAATCAGTGGCTGTCAAGATGTATTGAAAACCATTCAGTGTCATTGGTAAAGGGCCGTTTAAGTCAATCCCAACAAACTCCCAGACAGCAGACACCTAAAGTAATGAAACAAATATTTAATTTTTACTTGACCAATGTAAGAATATTGGTTATGTAATATTATAATAGACATTTACCTTAAAACATTGTAACGGGCGGGGAGCTGACAATGGCTTTCTAAATTTCTGACATTTATCACATTTCTGGATCTGTAGGAAAGGAGTTGTTAACCTGTGTACAGCTTTCATAAATATTGAAAAAACACAAAGATAATTATAGTGTGTACCCATTTCTCAATATCTTTGCTCATTCCATGCCAGAAGAATCTTGAGGAGATGGCCGATCGCGTTCTATTGATGCCTGAATGACCTCCAACTGGCGAAGTATGGATTTCTACGAAGATCCTCCTCGCTTCTTCCTCATCTTTAATAACTCGTCTTCTTCCAACAAAGAGCTTTCCTTCTGTAATGAAAGTGAAAGTTTAAAAGCTACATTCATTACAAGGCCATCTTTACAAACAACTAAGATTGTCTATATTTCTGATACTCACCAGTTAATGTAAATTTGGCAGTGGTCTGTCTGAAAGTCTGTCTCTGTGTCTTACTATAACCAGATGGGTATTCTCCAAAAGAAAGGAATTTGAAGATCTCGTTGTACTTGGTCTCCATATCTATAAAAACAGAACACAATTCTCATTCAACAAGGGTATACAAAAAATTTAAAAAAAAATGGGAATGGCTTAACTCCCACACATTACTAATTACCATCTGTAACCACTAACCAAAACTAACCTTTTCACACAGGAATAGGAAAAATGCCCCACCAGGCAATGTAAAATACAACAATGCTGTGTAAACCCCACTAACACTGGACACTACAATGCAACAGATGTAAATTAACTGCAAAGCCTACAAGGACAAAATTGTAAAGGCCTATCAATGTCCCACAACGATAAGTTATTACTCACCAGGGAGTCTGATGAGACCGGACACTGCTAGTGAAGTGAGTGAACCAAATGCGAAGCCTGTAAGGGGACAATAAGAACAAAAATTTATATGAATATTATGCACAGGCAGAACTTCAGAGAATGACAGTGTGGACACAACCGGTCAAATGTTAGTAGCAAGAACACAAATAACTGTCTTTACCTCTGAAACTTCATTGCAAGACAAGTCATTTGTCCCTAGAGGGACAAGAACATTAAATTCCCCTTCCTGCTTTGCTTGCTTAACAATATTAAAGATACATCTCCTGTCTCTGCAAGCAGTAGCTCACAAGACACTTTTGTCCAACCCCACACCTCTATGATAGAAACCCCCAACAATTCCTTTGTTTCAGGCTTCATCTTTTCCACACCTTAGACATAGAGGATGGTGGTTTCTCAAACTCAGCTCCTGAGCCTGTCTCCATACCACCACTACACTGAAAGAGATGAAAATGAATTATGTAAAGACACAGACTGAGCAGTATACATTTTAGCCACAACTCCAAGTCTACCAGATCCTATAGTAATCCATCTGCTATTCATTGGAAGCCTCCGCGGCAGTGACTTTGCAACAGTCCCAGCCTGAGTTTAACAGATAGTTTACAAATTCAAGACTAAAAAAAATATATATATATATAATAATAATAATAATAATAATAATAATAATAATCTCCTGCTGCAACATAGAGAACTTTCTACAGTTTAGACCAGGGCTGCCCAACCGGTAGATCCCCAGATGTTGTAGAACTACAACTCCCATGATGATTTGCATGCCTTTATAATGCATTTAGAATGACAAAGCATCATGGGAGTTGTAGTTCTACAACATCTGGGGATCTACCTGTTGGGCAGCCCTGGTTTAGACAGCATCTAAACCTCAAAAGTGGAACGTGAAACAAATGCATAACAACTATTACACTGAACTATGTCTGCCATTTTAATGAGAAGAATTTAAATCAAAACAAATCTTACTTTTCTCCACCTCCTGTATATTTTAAAGTATCTCCAAGTACACTTTGTAGCAGTCCTTAATAATATCAGCAGCCAAGCTAATTTTTACAACCCTTATATAAATCCTAAAACCATCATCCCCTTAGAATGTTTTACATCTGAGTGGGCATATGCTTATTAACAAACAATCAACCGGTTTTTCTAGTTTACCTAAATCATTTGCTATTTGGCGTATCCAGGAGGGATAAGCCAAATGGCAAGTGATTTAGGTAAACTAGAAAAATGGTCAGAGCTGTGGTAACTGACATTTAATGTGGATAAGTGCAAGATAATGCATATTGGATGTAAAAACCCAAGGGCAGAGTACAGAATATTTGATAGAGTCCTAACCTCAACATCTGAGGAAAGGGATTTAGGGGTGATTATTTCTGATGATTTAAAGAAAGGTAGGCAGACAATGTAATAGAGCAGCAGGAAATGCTAGCAGAATGCTTGGTTAAATAGGGAGAGGTATTCGCAGTAGAAAGAGGGAAGTGCTCATGCCATTGTACAGAACACTGGTGAGACCTCACTTGGAGTATTGTACACAGTACTGGAGACGGTATCTCCACAAGGATATTGATACCTTAGAGAGGGTTCAGAGAAGGGCTACTAAACTGGTTCATGGATTGCAGGATAAAACTTACAAGGAAAAGTTAAAGGATCTTAACATGTATAGCTTGGAGGAAAGACGAGACAGGGGGGATATGATAGAAACATTTAAAATACATTTAAATACATAAAGGGAATCAACACAGAAAAGGAAAAGACTATATTTAAAAGAAGAAAAACTACCACAACAAGAGGACAGCTGGAAGGCTAACACAGTAAAGGAGTTTAAGCATGCATGGGATAGGCATAAGGCTATCCTAACTATAAGATAAGACCAGGAACTAATTAAGTATTTAGAAAATTGGGCAGACTAGGTGGACTGAATGGTTCTCACCTGCCATCACATTCTATGTTTCTTTGTCTGTGTTTCTATCAATAGAAAATAGCAAACACGTAACTAGGCACATCAAATGCCTTACCAATTACCAATAGGAAATCAAACTTTCTACAATCAAAAAAAACTTTTCCTAGAGATGACTTACCTGTTGAACAGTAAAAAAGAAAGATCTCAGAGAGTTGAAGAATCAGATCACTTTCCAGAATATCTCCAAATATACTTTGTAGCAGCAGCCAAGCTATGCAACTCAGATCCCCATAACACTTACTGCACACAGTACGGTGGTGTTATACAGTCAGCGTTTAGTAGTGTATAACAGTATGTATGTATGTAAAGGTGCAATAGAATACGAGATTGGACAACAGCTCAAGTAGTCTGTCCTTTGGGGGGGTCCCTGCGCAGATCTCAAGCTGGTCTTAGAGGAGGGCAGAATGTTATATACAGCACAGTACATATATAACATACAGCTGCTAGTCAACACAAAACATTAAACAGATTACCCCCAGTGGTGCAGGCACACCCTCTGTACACTATTAGGGAGACAGAGTTGAGTCTGTTAAATTGATTCATTGTCTCCCCCCCCCTGTCTGGAAAACAATGAATAAAATTAACAGACCCCACACCATCTCCCTATTTTTATACAGAAAATATGTCTGTAGAGTTGGGGGTAATCAACCATCGTCCCCAACAATGGTAAATGCATAAAGAAATAAAGGAAGCAATCCTTTTTAGTAGAAAAGTACAGGCACAATATAAATCCACCAGAGTATAATGCCAAGGTAACAAAGTTTTAAAGACTTAAATAGGAGGGGAGGAGGGGGGAGGAGAGAAATCCTTGAGATCTAGTGCATTTTACATCTGTATCACCAGTCTAAACACTGCTTATACACAACTCAACAAACCAGTCATCTTGAAAATAAGTAATATAAAATATATCAATACATATATTCATTTAAACTAATAATTTCAGCAGGGCAGGAAAAGACACCCTCTGAAGACCTGCTGCTTTGGACTGCAACTCCCATCAGTGTCAGTGGATTGCTGTGACTGATAGAAGGGTGCCCGGGCCAAGTTTCTGAGGATTAGTAATCAATTACAGAACTCGATGAGAAACTGGATCGCTGTGATTGATAGGAGGGATCCCTGGTGCGGTCCCACTACTAAGGAATAAAAACCAATGGTAACAGCTTACTCCCACCTACCCCATCTCTAATGAGTGACAGGATGGCTGGGATGATAAGAGAGCTGCCTGGTCCCGCTCCCAAAGTGGAATATGATGACACTACTCCTCTTGATGATAGGTTGGTGTGCAGGGCCGGCCTTAGGGGTGTGCAAGCTGTGTGGCCGCACAGGGCACGATGCGGCCGAGAAAGCTCACATATGGCCGGCCAGGATTATAAAAATAAAAAAAGACACCTCGCAACATTGCGATGAAGGCGGAGCTTACTGTACGGCGGGGCGGGGCGGAGCTAAACTGACGGCAGGGGCGGAGGTAAAAGTGCCAGGTAACTGCTGTAGAGGAAGCAGAAAGGAGTCCCAACAACCAGTCTCCAGGAGCTGCACTGCCTCCACTCCTCCATAATAAACAGAGGTAACTATGTGTGTGTAGCTGTCTGTGTGTGTGTCTTCCTATGTGTGTATGGCTGTCTGCCTGTGTGTGTAACACTGTATGTGTGGCTGTGGTGTGTGGAGGGCTGTCTGCCTGTGTGTGAGTGTGTTTTTCTGCCTGATCCTGTGTATGCGACTATCTGCCTGCGACTGTGTGCATGTGGTGGATTTGACAGTGTATATGTATAACTCTGTAAAAATATATACCTGCATTCACACATAGGCCTAAATGCATATTTTTTTATCTGAATTAAATACCCATCACACACAGCCAATAAAACCAGCACAAATATCACATACAACCAATACACGCATATCACACAGTTAATACACCCATTACAAATATCACACACAGCCAACACATAGCATACATATCACACACAGTCACCACACTTATCACATACACAGACAACACAATTACATAATATTATAGTGAGATGTAGAACAGTGTAGTTCTGGTATATAAAATGCACATTTCTCTGTGTTTTATAGTTAGGGAGTTTGGTGATACACTAATAGGCACATTACTTGAGTTGTATTGTTGTGTAATGTATGATCTTGGCACAGAGCTCCACATTAACGGGAGTTTTATTGTTGTGGAGCTCTGTGATAAATGGAGAAGTAGCGCATTACTACAAATTTTTATTCCAAAAACGTGAAGGTAAAAAGTATAATCCAGGGCTCCAAAGCAAAACCACTCACAGTATTATGTGGCATACTTAGTCTGCTCCTCTGTAATGTAGGGGAGGCAGTCTGGCACTTCTGGCCTGCTCTTCTGTTGGCTGCAGACCATAAGTAGCTGTCTTCCTAGCTCGGGATAATCAGAGCGCTGCTGCAGATTACTAAAGAACACTGCAAGTCCCTGAGCTTGCGAGACAGTTACGCATGGTCTGTACCCAGTGGAGGGGCAGACGAGATTCAGATCAGCATTCCCCTCTCCCAACTAGGTAACAACAGGAAAGGAGGAATGAATATTTGTTTTTAAATCATTATTAATTTAATAAATCCCCTATACAATCAATACACACACTATAGATGGGGGCGCTGTGAAGATTTTTTTTGCACACGGTGCCTAAAGCTGGCCCTGGTGGTGTGAATGTGCAGTAGAATAGTAGAGAACAGGACTGCAAATTTGTAGTAAGCACATTTTTTAGATATCAACCAGAGGAAACCAGCTTCAGCAAAAGCTTAGGGTTAAATGATTTCTGAATAACAGTTTGTCAGATTACATTGTTTACAGGTCAAGTCACCCAATTCTGATTGAGATTGACTGTGCATGCACTGTGTTAACTATACTGATTTCCCTACCCCAACGGAGGTACTGACTTTCACTAGAGTGTGAGCAGTGTCCTTTAATTTTCCAGCAAGAGATCGCGACCATGTGCGGCACAGCAACCCCAGTCCCACAGCTGGCTAGAATTGCGCATGCACAGTATGTCCTTTCATTTAGTGCACTGTGTGCTGCCATTTTTACCTACTTAGTGCTCGCGTCCAAGCGCTACACAGCACCATCACCCAGCTGGTTATCGTCACTTCTGGTGCAGCCGGGATAGGGGATTGTGATAGAACACCGAAAATAAGTTTTTAAAGGGACACTATAGTCACCTTAACAACTTTAGCTTAATGAAGCAGTTTTGGTGTATACAACATGCCCTTGCAGCCTCACTGCTCAATCCTCTGCCATTTAGGAGGTAAATCCCTTTGTTTATGATCCCTAGTCACACCTCCCTGCATGTGACTTGCACAGCCTTCCATAAACACTTCCTGTAAAGAGAGCCCTATTTAGGCTTTCTTTATTGCAAGTTCTGTTTAAATAAGATTTTCATATCCCCTGCTATGTTAATAGCTTGCTAGACCCTGCAAGAGCCTCCTGTATGTGATTAAAGTTCAATTTAGAGATTGAGATACCATTATTTAAGGTAAATTACATCTGTTTGAAAGTGAAACCAGTTTTTTTTTTTTTCATGCAGGCTCTGTCAATCATAGCCAGGGGAGGTGTGGCTAGGGCTGCATACACAGAAACAAAGTGATTTAACCCCTTAACGCTGTTACGGCGTTCTATGCTGTCGCAGCGGCATAGAACGCTGCAACGGCTTTGAGCCCCAGGGGATCAATCCTCTTCTGGAGGGCTGCCTGACCGCCCAGGCAGCCCTCCCCCGGCGAATGAGGCCCCCGGGGGCCATGTGATCGCTCTCAAAGAGCGATCACATGGCCCCCTATAGCTGGCTATGGATCTGCCAGCAGGGGGACTGTCTGAAATATCAGACAGTCCCCCTGCTGGTGGGAAATGAAAAAAATAAATAAGCATGTGTAAAATAATATATATATATATATATATATATATATATATATATATATATATATATACACACACACACACACACACACATATATATATATATATACATACATAACGTCATACGTTGTGTATTTTAATACTATTAGTATATATATTAGTATTAAAATACACTTAGATTTGTTTTTCCCTTCAAAAATATGCTGTTTAACCTACCTTACGCTAATGTTACCAGACTTTAACCTTAAAAAAATGTGCACAGTATCTCATGCCATGCAACTGTAATATTACATGTCTGAAAACAATGGTAATCGCTGTTGTGGCATTACTAGACTAAATGTTATCTATAGCTATGCACGAAAAATAAAGAATTATATTAAAAAAAAAAATACACGTAAAATGATGTTATAGATAAATACATATAATTACATAAAAGATTACATTAGTATACACGTAAAATTTAAATACCTATAAATGCATATATATTAAAATTCTACGTGTATATTTAAGTAATTTTTTATATGTAATTTCATTCTAATTGTATTTTGTTATTAATGTCATTCTATCTATATATATATATAAAATACAAATAACCGCAAATATATACATATGGATAAATACATATAATTACATAAAAGATTACATTAGTATACACGTAAAATTTAAATACCTATAAAATGCATATATATTAAAATTCTACGTGTATATTTAAGTAATTTTTTAACATAATTATGTGATTTGATTAATTAAAATTTGATTGACATGCCTGACAACACAGGGAGAAAGTGCAGAGAATTTAATTTGCAAGCACTATATTTGACCCTGTAACTCTCCAAGACACCATAAAACCTGTACATAGGGGGTACTGTTTTACTCAGAAGACTTCGCTGAACTCAAATATTAGTGTTTCAAACTAGTAAATTGTATTACAACGATGATATTTTAAGTAAAAGTGACTTTTTTTGCATTTTTTACAAACAAACTGCACTTTTATGGACTATATTATTGTTGTAATATGTATTACTGTTTTAAAACACTAATATTTGTGTTTAGTGAAGTCTCCCGAGAATAACAATACCCCCCATGTACAGGTTTTATTGTGTTTTGGAAAGTTAGAGAGTCACATATAAGGCTTGCATTTCATTTTTTTAACATTGAAATTTGCCAGATTGGTTATGTTGCCTTTGAGACCGTATGGTAGCCCAGGAATAAGAATTACCCCCATGATGGCATACCATTTGCAAAAGTAGACAACCCAAGGTATTGCAAATGGGGTATGTCCAGTCATTTTTAATAGCCACTTAGTCACTAATATGCGCTTTCATTAAAACCTACATTGTTAGTATCATGAGAGGCACACTTTAATTTACAGGTTACAAAACTAGAAAGTGTTACAGTCTGCATTCACCTGACATTTTGCATACTTCATATCTGCCCATTATTTTACACACCTGCATCACATTCAGTGTAATAGATACCAGCAATACTTATTATTATTATTAATAAAGCAGCACTTACACTACTAATATCCAGCTACAGTATGGGCCTATTGTTCCTGTAAGTTTATTTGTAATTGTCCTATTTATTGTTAAATCCCCTTTCATAATATTGTAAAGCACTACGGAATCTGTTGGCGCTATATAAATGGCAATAATAATAATAATAATAATATGTGATCTTCTCCGCCTGTAACCACTTCAAATTCCCCTACCTCGTGAACATCACCTACCCCAGTCACTTCCGGTGAGGGGAATCAGCTGGTTCCTGTGCTGCACATGCGTGCTAGCACTCCTGCTACTCCTCCACAGCAAGGTCCTGGAAGGTAAGTAAAACTAGTTTTACACTTTCATTATAGTTAGTGCATTCACTAAGCTTAGGCACACGGGACATTTAGGGTTAAGTGAGGGTTCAAATTAGGGTTAGGTAAGTGATTCTAACCTCTCTCACACTCTATTCTTACCCTAACCCTTGGGGTAAGGGTTAAAATAAAGTGTGAAAAATCTCAATTTAGTGATATTCCCCTAATGTGAAATATCACTAAATATGAACAAGTCCCTAATCCTAACCCTAATCTGAACCCTAAATGTCCCATGTCCTAAGCTTAGTGAATGCACTAACTATAATGAAAGAGTAAAACTAGTTTTACTTACCTTCCAGGACCTTGCTGTGGAGGAGTAGCAGGAGTGCTAGCACGCATGCGCAGCACAGGATCCAGCTGATTCCCCTCCCCGGAAGTGACGAGAGTAGGCGATTTTTTAACGCGGTAGGGAAATATGATGGTCATGGTGTTTCAGTCAGGTATGAGAACTCATTAACAGAGCTGCAGCCCTTCACCGGATATTATGTCACATGCCAGTGAGTGCCAAACACTAGAGTCTGCAACTACTTGAAGTGTACTGAAGCACAGTGCTGCACTAACGGAGACACAAAGTTTGCCTTCTCTTGTGTTTCGAACTCCTTGCTCTGTAAAGGTGCAGCTGGTCTCTGATGCTCGGTTACCATGCGGTTCAAGTATCGGTAAGCCCAATATACAGTGTGTGCACGGCATGCTGCCATTAGAGCTAGGCCCCAGGCCATGTAAGTGGCAGTGGGCTGGTTTGGAGTGAGGTTGCTCAGTAAGGTGTGATTTTCCCTGCAGGTACTTACTGTGTGAGCTGGTCCTGGAGGATCCCCGGCTCAGGCAGAATATCTCCCAGGGCATGATCGTACATAACGTGAGGGAGGCTCTCACCAGGACACATGGCGACTATGGGGCTGCTGCCTGTGCTGTGTCCCTGTCTGGTAAGTGCTACAGCTACTTCCTAGCCTGCATCATCAGGCACAGGGTGCTCCATCCCTGACTGATATGTAGCTGTCAAATCACTGGCTATTATGATGATATACTGCTATAAATGTGTTTAGAATGTGCCCCGGCTTCCTGCACACAATTGCTTAGAACTGCAGCAAATCATTTTGGTACAAGACCAGACTGCAGACAGAATGATTGGTTGACCCACTTCCTGGTCTAGACAGAATTCTGTGCAAAACCCGGAAAAGCAGCAAGTAGAGACAATTGCCATTTATTATTTAATGTGTTATCAGTACAATGTTGTTGTTTTTTGTTTAACCCCTTAAGGACACATGACATGTCATGATTCCCTTTTATTCCAGAAGTTTGGTCCTTAAGGGGTTAATAATATATATATATATATATATATACATACACACACCCACCCAGCATGGAAAATGTTTGATTTTTATACCTTGCAGTATATGTGAGCTACATACTAAAGGGCCAGAATTTTCATAGTTTGAAGCCTGGATATGTAAAGCAATGTATGGTGGATCTGGCGATCTTGGTGTGAGGCATTGGATATACATTACCCAGATGTAATGATAACCTGTCACTCTAGGGAGAGGATCGTCTGCTGTTGTGACATCATGTGAACAATCCACAAATTCTATTTGAATTGACTATCTATGCTTTAGGTACAAAGTGCAGGCTTTTTGTTTCCCTTGCAGTGAAATACCTGAATGCATACACTGGAATCATTCTGCTACGATGCACTAAAGATTTCTACCAGCTCCTGTGGTCTGCTCTTCCATTCATCACTAGTCTAGAGAACAGAGGGCAGCGCTTCCCATGCTTCCTAAACACTTTACATGTTGGTGGTAAGAAAATTTTATTTCTTTAAATATATATTTTAATTGGTGGAATTACATGAACCACTTCTGCAGTCTCTTAGGTTCCTTAATGGAGCAAAGCTAATTATTGCAGTTTTTAAGAAACTGCAATAATTACCTTTTTCAGGGTTAACTCCACCTCTACTTTTGGTCACCTAACTGATGCTGGACATCCTCACACTATGCATGAAGACTTCCAGCGTCATCCACATCTCCATAGGAAAGCTTTGTACAATGCTTTCCTATGGGAAATTCCTAGTGCAAGCGCAGCCACTGACTGACATGTGCGCCAGACCCAAGTAAGTGAAAGAAGGATTTTTTTTTTTTTTTTTAAAGGGACACTATAGTCACCAGAACAACTACAGCTTAATGTTGTTCTGGTGAGTATAATAGCTCCCTTCAGACATTTTCATGTAAACACTGCCTTTTCTCTCCAAAGGCCGTGTTTACATTGCCCCTCGGGGCACCTCCAAGTGGCCACTTGTAAGCAGCCACCTAAATGGTGTGTTTTCACTAAAGGGTCTGGAATACATTTTTTGTGTTCCTGACCCTATAATGATCTTTTAACAACCACGAGGGGGAAGCTATATTGTCTGGAGAAAGTTTGTTTTTTGCTGGCACTATAGTTTCATTTTAAGGATAACAACAATATATCTAACCACCATATTCTACAGAACTGAATGAAAACCTAGGGTTGCGCAAGAGAAGTTTGGTTTTTGTCACTGTGACTATTGTAGAAGAGATCTGTATCTTGGTGATCAGAAGTCTTTTTTTTTTTTTTCTTCTTCTCAACTCAATCCCAGGATTTCATGAGTGGGTTAGTCATTTTCTTAGAAAACTCCAGACACCTTTTTATGTAGCGTTATTAAACATCACTTGATCAATCAAGGAGGGCCTTATAGATGGCACACAAAGTAGCTTGTATATACCATGTGCAAATGTAAAATAAACATCTTACAAGTATTCTATGAGAGTGTATACTACAGCACTGTTAACAATGTTTTAACTCCCATGATGCTTAGCATGCCTTTAGAATGACAAAGCATCATGGAAGCTGTAGTCTTAAAACATCTGGGGAACCTACCTTTTGAGCACCATTTTTTGCTAGCATATATTATTGCATATGCATTAACGTTTTTGTGAACAGAACACCAGGTGTTGACTTGCATATTGCATCTTTCTATTAGTCACATTAAGGGAAAAACAATACATTTACATGACATGCCCTTAAACTTGAAATCCACTTTGAATTTTTTTTTTACTAATTAGTAAAAAACACTGATCGTTTTGGTTGTTTGACTTCTATGCTTCTGCAGATCAAAAAAGGTCACTTTGTTTCATTATAGGGACAATACGCACGTGTCAAAAATTCCTTATTCAGTACAACAAGCAGCAGTTACATCTGTTATTAACGAAGTGCACCAGTGATGGTAAGAAACCTTTTCCCAACAATTCCTAACGGCACCATAAAAGGCGTACTAAGATGAAAATGGATTCTGAAGTCATTTATATTGATGACTCTTTACCTACACAGATTCTAGTGCTATTGTGTTTAGCATAATTATCCATGCTGTGATTTTAAAGGATCACTATAGTGTCAGGAAAACAATTTTTTTCCAGACACTATAGTGCCCTGAGGGGTCCTTATTCCAGCACCGACCTTTATAATTAAACAAACTCATTGCTATGCTGAAATTTAGTTGTGCCAGAAGTTTGCCTTGGTCCTATTCTATAAAGAACACACTGTTTACTAAAGGAAGTCTCCTTTATGTATTAGATAGTCAGTACATCTAAAATACCATTCTAGCCTGCCCAGCCCAACAAGTTAAAGCGCTTGAGTGTCCTACTACTATTCAATGTTTAAGGAATAAATCTGTCATTTTAGTGTGCTTATATAAATTTTTTTTTTTTGTCACAAAAAGCTATTTATATGATTTAAATGCATTGGATTATTCACTAAAGTGAATTTACGGGATGAATTTGAAGGGTTACTTTAACCCCTTTTGAGTAGGAATCTTTCTTGTGTAAAAGGCCCTATTGGACACTGTGGAGAAATTCCTCCTCAATTTGCAGTAAAACCTGAGGCAGGTGAAGGTTTAATCACCTGGAATCCAGCACTGGGCAAAGCTCCGCACCTCCAACGTTACAAGGGCTGCATGCTGTCCAATCACAGGCTTTTTCATGCACATGCTCTGGGCTAGAGTGTTTTAAAAAGCAGGAGGGAATGCAGAGATGGTGGGAGAGCTAGCTTCTCCTTGCAGGAGAAGTCTTTCAGCATGCAATGCGTGTATTTTATGCACAGAATTGACATCAGCCTGGAACAGAGTTCTGGGCTACCAATAGCACGGATGATAGTGGAACTAGCCCAACACTAAACTATTGCAGAATGTCAAGCTGAAATACTTTTTATACTGGATCCCTCCACCATGAAGTGGTAATGGTGCTTGCAATAACTTTACGGTCAATAACTAAACTGGAAAAAAAAAAAAAAAAACTAAGGCAGCTATGCTTTCAATTACTCTAGCCTTAGTTTGAAATTCACTTTTAAGTAAATAACCATTTTGTAGTTGGCCATCTGTTATGTCTATTGATTGTTTATACTTTCTTTTATACAACCTTTTCCATGGGAACTATGCTCTGTAATTTTCCAGCAGAGAGAAAAGCAATCCAACAGTCAATAGCCAGCTGCACCTTACATAGTGTGGAAGAAGCTGAGTTTGTAATGGGCAGTGAAGACAACAGCATGGAGTGACTGCTGCTGCATAAGATTCCAACACTGCATGATCTGGCAGTGACAGCGTTGATCTATGAAGGTTCAGTTATATGCAACCATCTACATGTGTGCATAGTGTTTATAGTAAACCCAATTTCCACACTAGTTGTGGCAAAAATAGCAATATATTTTGAATGCTCTGTTTAGGGTAAAAAGACTTGCATATAAACTTATTTTGTAATGCTCAGTTAAGTTTTGCTATATTTAATAAATGTTAAAGTTTTAGGTTTAGTTATGGGGGTCTCCATATTTGGCACACATGGCTTACTGGAGCAGTACTAGGTATAGTTAGACTCTGATACCCAGTGACTGTACTAAAATGTGGAATAGTATAAGTGAAATTAAAGCAGGTTGTGATATCAAGTCGTGGTATTGGACAATGTTCTACATATGATAAATACTAACCTCAATTCAGCTGTATATGCTCTACTCATGCACTGAAATGAGCCTGAATCATAAATGGAAAACAGGACATAAAATAAGCTGTGTAACCAAACAGCCCAAGTATTAGTTATCTAGGGCAGTGATTCCCAAACCAGTCCTGGTTTTCTCCATTGTATTACAACAGGGAAATACATAAATTCATGATTGTTAAAGGGACACTCCAGGCACCCAGACCACTTCTGCCCATTGGAGTGGTCTGGGTGCCAACTCCCACTACTCTTAACCAGGCAAGTTTAATTATTGCAGTTTTTTTATAAACTGCAATAATTACCTTGCAGGGTTAACTCCACCTCTAGTGGGGGGGGGGGGGAGAGCCAGGAGTCAGAGACCCAACTTTAGGGTTAAACTGTTGCCAGGCCATTTTTACTTCTGAACATAACTGTCCGGACACTTTCTCCTATAACAAGAGTGGTTAAACTATAGGGGTGGCAATGTTTCTTCATTGGAACCTCAAAACTTCAATTCTCTAACTGCTTCTTTTCCCATTTAACGTAGCTATATGTTGCACTTACATTTTAAAATGGTTCAGAATTTGTGGTCCACTTTTACATATGGCGCAAAGTAAATCCACATACAGCATTACTCTGTTAGATGCCTGAGTGGAGGCATAGGTCAGCAAATCGTCATTTTATTTTTTCTAAGTTTTCCTCTGCTGCATTATTCACCCTGGTAAACTGAAGTCACTATTACTGTGATAAAAGAAAGAAGAACATTTACTAATATAGAAGAGTTATGCTGTATGACAGTAGCAGAAAACTAGGGATCTTTTATAATTGACTCTATAAGTCACTTAGCAGAATCACTCCAGATTAGTACTGAAAAAAGGAAAGTTTACATTGTCAGTTTTAAATTCCAGTTTAGAGTTAAAAGGGACACTATAGGCACCCCCAAAAAAAAACTTTAAAAAAAATAATGCAAATATTAATATTTTTTAAAAATATTAAATCCCTGGTGGTCCAGTGGCATTGGCAGTGAGCTCTTACCTTCCTGCAGCTCCTGTCAGCTCGCTCCCTCCTCCGTGCAGCTCCGTTCTGTTTACAGTGTAAGTCTCGCGAGACTTACACTGTGAGCTGCACGGAGGAGGAGGGAGCTGACAGGAGCTGCAGGAAGGTAAGTAAGAGCTCACTGCCAGCCCCCAACAGGACTGCTGGGCTTGTAATGAGCCCGGCGGTCCTGGTCTGTATTGTGGCAATGCAAAATTGCCACAATACAGACATTGACTTGAGTATAAGCCGAGTTGGGGTTTTTTCAGCACAGAAAATGTGCCGAAAAACTCTGCTTATACTCTAGTATATACGGTAACTTTAAATTTAAGAAACTGCAATAATTTTTTTGCATGATTAACTCTTTGGCTGTCCAGCCACTAGAGACAGTTCTGCAGTTTCAAAAATGTTTGACGCTGGATGTCCTCACGCTTTTCATGAGGACGTCCAACTTCGAGAAAAAAAGTAAAAGCCATAGAAAAGCATTAATTCAGTACTTTCCTATAAGAAAGGCATAATGCGTGGCTTTTTTATTTCATAATTGCTGTGACCAAAGGCCATCATCACTGGAATCAGGTAAGTTTAAAAAAAAAAAGTTATTAACCATTTGCATGGGGGCACCGCAGATGTGTGTATATATACACAAAACTGCATTCTAACACCAGTGTTTCTTTGAGAGCATGCCTTTGTTAAAGTAGGCATAAACACTCCACTGTCTAGTAGATATACCCCAACTGAAAACATGCATGTATTTAATATGCTTTTTATTCATTGGGGGCATATCTAAAAAAGTTGCACATCTCCTGCCTAAAGCCTTTAAGCCCTCTCCAAACTCAGCTCCAGACTTTCTACGGCTATTCAATTACAGATTTCCCAATGCAACTCAATTAGAAGTTTTCAAAGAAGGCACTCTGAGCAATTGCCTGCCTCTTGAATTTAGCTGCACTGAGCTGAACTACCAGGAAGTAACCGTACAGCCGGTCTGAATAGCAGCCATGGGTGTGTAACATTGTTCATTTATAAAAAGTGCCAATTTCTATTAAAATCTGCAATGAGGTGGACATACGCTTCACACATACAGCACTTCAGCTTGCTTTAGGGGTCCGGAGTATCCCTTTAATGATCAATTAGCATGTCCCGCAAGTAATTAAAGCAAGGTATATCAATATGTAAAGTACAAGGCAAACTAGGAGTAGCTTGAAAGTAAAAAAAAAAAACCAAAACCAATTAGAATTTCATCTACAATTTATTGAGGGAGAAAAAAAAAAAAAAATTCATACTGGACTTGGCCCTTTCCTGTCAAATCACATGGAACAGGAAATAAAGGTCCATTTAAAGAAAAACATGGGTTTCAGCAGCTTAAAAAAAACAAACAAAAAAACATTTTGGTGTGCCTCCTTAAATCAGCTAAATGGCACTGCTCCACTGCAAGTCAGTCCAACTAAACGCTACAGTTCCAATTAGGGTTCTTCCCCTGAAAACATTAGCTTTGTTTAATAGTGTGTGTTGGCTCAACCCACACCAGACAACCCCAAAAAAGGGGGGGGGGGTAGTCAACCATAAATACTGCAGATAAAGTGATTGAAAGCAAAGTGTTAAGATACAATTAGAAGTTCAATTGGGTAGATGTGATAGAGGGCTTCTATGCTCATTTAGTGTGGACCATTGAGGTGCTGAACAGAAGTTTCTGCTGCTTCTTTTTCTTCTTCCCTCCTTTCTCAACTGCAACAAGAGATTAGAATTAGCTTGCAATCAACTAGACCGCTCATCCCCTGTCCCAAAATATCCATCTTACCTGAAGGTGAAGGAGTGGGCAAGGCAGTATCCAGCTTTAGGAAAGCTGCCTCCATTGCCTGACTAAATGAGTTCTGAAAGCTAGGTACTGGCACTCTCTCAGAGCTGTCACTCTCCCCATCACTATCTGCAGGAGCTGGGTTTATCAGAGTATTTTCTGTGCAAAGTGAAAACTAGTTAGTATCCTGTACATACATTAATGTGCACATTATAGTAGAAACACTCAACTCACCTTTTTTTGGGACCACTTTGGGCCAAGACTCTGCTTTAGCTTTACCAACCATCAGCATCTATGAAACATAACCGAGGGTTGTAGGGGATGAAGTATGCAGAACTTTGGCAGTTACATTCAGACAGAAGTCTTTCTAAACAGCATTTCTCAAAGATTTTAATTAGGATTCTCGCAATCCAAGATATATTAAGCAGTAACTACAGCAACAGAGGCAATATAAAACTAGTTATGGTCAGAAATCTATTTTAATAGACAAGAAAAGACTAAACCCCTAATAATTTTCATATTTGACAAGAGTTCTATTAACTTCTTACGCTGTTTAAAGTGACAAATACAGTTTGAAGAAATTCTTTATGGGTTAACCGCATGTCCATGCACTCTTATTTTAGAATAAATGCCCATTTCAGAGTTAATTGGCACTTTTTTTAAATATATCCCCCTCTAACAGCAGGGAGGGGTTTGTGCCTTACTCTCTTTAAACTGTGGTAAGTCATGCTTTCTTTTGTCTAGAGAAGCATTGGTTTCAATTAAATTTACATCCACTGCAACATCCTGATCTGTAGTTCTGAATTTTACAAATAAAATTGCAGTTCACTGGATTAATCTAACTGAAGCACAATGTGAAGTCCAGGCATTTTGCTTTAGCAGACACCCATGTCTCCAATATTTGCAATTTACATTACACATAGCAGAGCTTCAAACAGAATACTCTTTTCAGATTTGTTTTTATTAAAGGCCAGTCTAAGCATAATTGCTGCAGGACTGTATAGTTACAGTTAGTCATAGTGCCAGTTCGCCGCTGGCGAGATCCCATAAGGTAAGAAATTAAACAATCTCTCTATGACACTTACCTCTCCCAAAGCACCACAGGTCAAGCCTTTGTGATATCTAAAGCAGAAGTTTCCCCTTGCTCAATACATGTTAACTTTGGCTGAAATTCATTTGCTGAAGGCATCAGCTGATACGCGATATAAAACCTAAAAATGCAAAAGGAAGTAATCTATAGGTGTCTAGGCTAACCTGTGCAAAGGAAGGAGACTTGCAATCCTCCTCCAGGGTTAGCAGACGGTCAGCAGGAGACTCTGCACCTAGGCATGAAACAAGAGACAGGTTTCTTAGTTGCAGAAACAGGATTTAATTTCTCCTCTGTTTATGCCCTCTCTAAGCAGATAGCAGGTGCAAAGGACGAGCTCACAACAATGATTGACAGGGAGATAATACAATGCACCCAATCACAGGTTATAGATTTCTAAGTTTTATTTTTCACACTTACATACATATGTTATACAGGGAATAAGAAATTAAAAAGCTTGTAAAATTATATTCACCTTTAAAAAGGGTATTCTAAGAGAAGTGTAATTAAATCTTACTAAAACAGATTAAAAAAAATTAAACCGCGATATGTAAACACGTGTGCCATAACTCCATGCTATAAACAGACCTAAAACGTTAAATGAATTGTACAAATACACAGTCCCTCACCTATCTGGGAGACTGGGCTGCTGCTTATAGGAGAGGGGGAGAATGAGCCATGTGTTTCTGCTATGGATATCGGGGTGCTTTCTCCTGGCACAGGGATCCCTGTTGTGGAACTGACTGCAGGAAACTGTTGCAGATTTTCTAATGCCATGTGAACCTCAGGATCTGTAAATACACCACAGCAGCAAAATTAAGAGTTCAAGATACAAGAATGAAAACACAGAGCAGGACACAGACTGAAAAGACACACAGACGGACGAAGCACACCGATAAGGAACAAGCAAACCGAAGATAACTTATGTAAATGCTTCTACTACAGATATAAGCAAATGTAACCCTAAAAGCAGATGTGTACCCTGCGATGGTACTCAAGCTTACTGAAATGCATTGCAACAATCCTTACCCACCCCCCTCCCCCTTACCTAATTTTATGCAAAACCAAAAAGAATTTTAAAAAAAGCTACAAGAATGAAAAAAATCATATGCAGCATAAAACAAGGCTAAGGAAGAGCTTACACTTTCCCTGCTTCCTGTTCTCCTCAATCTCTATTCTTTTCTCCCTGCGTCTTTCATCACGTGCCTTCCGCTGACGCAGGCGTTTTCGCCTCTCCACTTCATCTAGATAATACAAAAAGTTTGCAAGAATGGAGATTCCCACATGGGCCTTGAGAACATTACAATTAAGCAGGTTGAATGCAAAACATTTTAATACATAATAAGATAAGATAATTTAAAGGACCCCTATAGGCACCCAGACCACTTCAGCTCAATGAAGTGGTCTGGGTGTCAGGTCCCTCTAATTTTAACCCTGCAGCTGAAAAGTTTCAGAGAAACTGAGGCGTTTCCGCGACTCACTTTGAAAAATCACAGTGAGAAGACGCTGGACGTCCATAGGAAAGCATTGAGTAATGCTTTCCTATGGGCAGTTTCAATGCAAGCAGGGCTCTTGCCGCACATGCCCATTCGGATCTGACGTCGGCAGGGGGAGGAGAGTTCACCGGCGCTGGAGAAGGGTAAGCGGCTAAAGGGGTTTTAACCCCTTCAGCCCAGTGGGAGGGGGGACCTAAGGACTACATAGTGCCAGGAAAACTAGTTTGTTTTCCTGGCACTATAGTGGTCCTTTAACCTTTGTTGAAGTAGTACAGGCTTTTTATAAAAAAATTTTTAGGTAAAACCTGATGAAAATCACTTCAGTTTTATTTTCCAACTGGAAAGACACTGCTGAAGGCAGCTGCAGACATTGTGGTATTGTCAGGTAAGGAACTGACAAGCTTACATTTAAATCAATGCATTTGTTTTGTGCCCATTAAAAAAAATAAATAAATAATGAATTGTAATGTTCATTAGCATCTGGGATGTATACACCATGCTAATGCCATATGACTAGCAAAGAGCACAAAATTTACTGAAATTATTCAGCCACTTCCTTCGTGCTGCCAAATGGAGTATCATAAGGGAAGAGACTTCCTGCAAAAAAAGGAATGCTCAAATGAACAGTTTTCTTTTTAAAGCATTGTACCATATATGTACCTGGCAGATATCAGTCCTGGGGTGACCTTTAAAACAAACATACATTTGTCCAGTACTCGTTTAGAATAGTTGTCCAACTGGAGGGATTGTGAGATGGTAATGGGCGATATAAACTAATAAAGCCTATAACTTTCCTGACACTTCATTAGTGTTTTAGCAATATAAAAACGCAAACACATAGCCCAGCACTGCTGTAAAAAGACCCACTTTTTATGGCTTAAAATATATAGGCTTTGTCAATTGTTCCGCATGTCCAGGTTTCTAGGCCATGACGTGCTGAAGTAACGTGTAGTGGTTTCATTGCCAACTCACCTGCAAAAAACAGCAATGTTTCAGGAGAGACTGTTGGAGGTAAAAGTGCCATCTCACAGATGCTGAACTCACAGGTAAGAGGCAGGTGACACAGATAACGATGACGTCTGCGGACCTCCTGTCACACAAGATAAAACGTAACTGTCTATTTGAATACAGAGTTTTCTAGTGAGTAACAAGATAATACAAAAGACAAACCGGATTTACCTCAGTCATTGTAAAACCATCAATCTCTACAACAGCAGCAGTAATTTTCTCTGGGCAGCGCTCAAGACTGCCATATTCATGCACCAAGCATCGTACATTCACTGGATGGAGAAACACATGCTGTCCATCTTCAGCTAAAGCAAAACATAGTTGGAATTTAGCACCTGCAGACACCACCCCCCATAGCTTTGTTGTATTTTGGTAATCACATACCTTGGTAAAAGTAATAATAATGTGAGTTTGTTTCATTGGTAGTGGTCTGCTGGTTGTAAGAAGTACACGTTTCATCTGCAGGTTGTACAAGATCACTTCCTTCCAGAGATGCTGCACCTTCCAAAGCCAGCATCTCTTCTGGTGTGACCTCCAGGGCAGGTTCTTGTTCGTTACATAACGGTTCATCAATTTCCTCATCAAATGCAGAGCGATACTGCACAACCTGTGAACATAGGCCAGGAAGCCTTGCTTCAGGCATCACATCCAATTTCAAAGCCTCCATAGGAATGGAGACTGCATCAGCATTTGATTTGCAAGTAGAGAGACTGATTTCACGATCCTATATAAAAAAAAAAAAAAATAGTAAAAATTAAGACTGTATACATCAGTCCATTCCTCTGCTATATCAACGTTGTTAGCTATGCCAGTTAGTAGATATTCGTCACACATCCATAAATGTTACAGTTTGCAGAACTCAAGGCATACAAAATGGTAAGATACACATCTTGGTCTTGAATTAAGTTTGCCTGGAGGGGCAGGGCCTGACTGCCATGCCAGACAAAGGCATCTAGTGGGAGCTCTGGCAATTAATTAACAAGTGCAGCTATTCCTGCAAACTACCTTCATCGACACTGGATACTCCCAAACCGATTAGGGTTTTATTGGAGCTTGTATTGATGCCGCTGGGTGTCCACGCTACCGAGGAACCTGAGCAGGCCCCCATTGTAGTTGGGGGGAGGGGGAAGAATTATCCCAGTCTGCTCTCTGGAGGCTCCCTGACAAAGCTGCAGACACAGCCTCCCCACTGAGCAAGCAACTGGCACTCACACAAACAAGATGGCGGGTGCCACGTGCACCTTCATTCCACACTACAGCCCTAACTATGTCCTGCACCATCCAAATTACATACTCAGACTCCGTATCTGGGGCCTGCTGCTCCAAAGAACCACACAAGCGCAGTGAGTGGACCGCAGCTGAGAGATAGGAGGGAGGCTCCTGCCGTGACCAGGCAAAGACTGGCAGAGGCCCGTGGCACACAACACAGCATGCCGGACCGCACGGGACTTATCCAACATCGCTTCTCAAGTGGGCTGCTGAGCCTCATACTTTGACTTCCACGGAGGGCCTTTACACGGCCCCTACAGGGCATACGTTGAGTCCAAGACCGGGTCTGGGACTACCCCTTTTTGACCATATAACCTGGCAATGCGTTTTGCTAATGTGCTTATTTTCATTTATTGCTTTTTATCTCTTTTGTTGGGCTCTCATTTATAAAAGCCTGTCTGGGGGGCCTCAGAAGGGTTTACACTCCAAGCTAAACTGCTTGTCTGCCTACACAGCTAGGAGCGGTCTTCTCTATACAGTTTATTCCCAGTGCATGAAGCCTGCATACTTCCTATCCTACTTTTCTTATTATGCACGGTGCTCTTGTTATACATCTTTCTCTCTTAAATAAAAAATGTGCTTTTTTTTATGTACACTTCAAAACTAGACTATGAAATGTTACTTCATGTCAGACTACCCAATGTGTAATATGTACTTTGTTCTGCCAAGCACATAAAGAATAAAAAAAATATAAAGTTTGCCTAGAACATCATGCGTTATACAACATTGCCACCTAGTAGTATGTTAACATTAAACTGACAAAAGCAAGAATCTCAAACTCAGATGGTAATGGCCTTCAACCACCAGAATTCTTTGAATGAATAGAGAACAGTAAGAATAGTAACATCTAGGGTCCAGAGTTGAGATGCTTGGACTAAAGCCTACTTTAACCAAGTCACTAGCACCGTTACAATCTTTACAAATTACCATAAATAAATTACTACAGTTACAGGCAAAGTAATTACGGTACAGCATATTAACTAAAGCATGTGCAAGAAACCAAAGAAATGCAAATAGAAGAGTCTTGGTTGGTTAGCACATTGCAGCTTCTCTGAAATTGTCAAGAGTATTCTAGTGTAAGCTGCTACTTGTGCAAAAACTTATGCAAGAAGCATATGTTTCTATGGTGGGTAGAGTATCACGTCTAACTCTTACAATTTTTCATTGTATATGAGGGGGGAAAAAAACAAACAAAAAAAAAAAAAAACACCAAACAACAGAAATGAGAAGAAACTTTAACGTCCATTAGAGAATTTAACTTTAAACTGGAATCCAGAAGAAGTTGTGGACTATAAAAGTCAGCCTTAGGTGATCAATTTAATCTACATTTTGTGCTAGTGACATTAACAAAGTCCAAAAGGTCTTGCATTGCCAAGATCAGAAAGTGTTTAATAAATTTTGTTAAGATCATGGGCAGTAATCTAGTCAAATAAGTACGAAAAAGTGGTTGCATATTTTCTAGCAATGTGGTGGAATTTCAAACAAACTAAGCCGGCAACACAGTCAACCCCATTTCTCTGTACTCTTGACACTTCATAAGAAATGGAACAACGCTCGCTGACCTTCAAATCTTGAATAGCTGCCTCTATAAAACAGGCCTCTGGCGTATCTTTCTCCGCATTGTGCTGCTCCAAGAGTGCCTCCTTTTCCTTACAAATTACTTGTTTAAGTATCTGATCCTGGGAGGCCAGGAGAAGTTTTGAAAACTCAGAATGTTCCACATCTATAACAAAATAAAAATGAAATTTTATATATAAAATATGTATAGTTTTCATTGAGGCGGTAACAAAAGAGTCATTAAGGAAAGCATTACATTTAAAAAAAAAAAAAAAAAACACACAAAAAACCTACACACTATAGCTTTAGAGATAGGGAGCTGTATTTACCTCTTAAAGACAGATGCAAATTTACAAGTTCCGATCAATACAAAACCTAGAATTTGAGCTATAGGTCTGTTCAACCATAATGTACCTCTCATTAAGTGCACCTACACTTATAGATAGTTTTGTACAGGAGAAATGGGGTTTTCATTTCACAAAATATATGATGCCATTTAATAGGAATAAAAAAAAATAAAAGAAATTGGTATTTTCCAAGTTCTGCATGGCATTGTAACTGAATGTTATACTGTCAAATTACTACAATGAAACATAAATTTGTATGTTGTGATGTCCAATGGATACAACAATGCCCCATGTACAGGTTTCATTGTTTTTTTGGAAAGTTACATAGTCAAAGAGCTTGCCCAGTTATTACACAATTTGCCAAATTGGTTTGTTGAGCCTATGTTTCCTTTGAGACTGTATGGCGGCCAAGGAATGAACGTTATCTCCCCATCATGGTGTACCATTTGCAAAAGTAGACAACCCAGGGTATTCAAAATGGATGGGTGTGTCCATTCTTTTTTTTTTTTTTTTTTTAAAGCAGTCACGCCAATTTGAAGAGCATATGAAAAATGCTTTGAGATCCCTGTCCCTTCCTCTTTGTACAAATGCATTGAGATACAGTGGTCTGGGTGACTATAGCATCCCTTTAAAAGTAAACCTACAACTAAGGAATATAAAATATATTCATATCATATAGTCTTATTACTTTGGTGCATACACTATACTTTACATTTTAAATCCATCCGATACCAGGCTTTTTCATAGAGAGCAAGTGTGTAAATGCAGGAGTGAATATTACGCGTTCCTTTCCCATGTCAAGTTAAATGCTGAAAGTTACCTTCTGTTTCCAAACCTTTTCAAAGTTATATTAAATTAAGGGAAGAAAATATCTGTTTTAGAACAAGTAAATGATGTTATATTATCACCTCCAAGGTGAATGTGCTCATCAAGCTTAATCCACTTTGATTTAGGCATGGCCACAAGAACTCCCTTTTCTCTCCTCATGAGCTGCATCGTTATTATATCACCCACGGCATAAAGACGAGTTTCAGTGGCAACAACACTGCAATCAAGAGAGGGAACAATCTGTTATGTTTGATGGAATGTAATATCTACATTAGGTCATACATAGAGAGGCATGTCAATCCTCTTGATCCACTTTCACTTGTTGGCCAACACAGATAAGTGGTATTAGTGGAGTATACGTATGCAATATAAATAACAGGTTAAAGTCCACAATATGTGGGCAGAGCCAACAGGCATTCTGAGCCCATAACTTCCTGCAAACTGTCTTTGAAGCACTTATGGATGGATACCAGTACCCTCACTCATCAATGGGAAAAAGATCAAAGTAAAACAAGCCGGTGGTGGGGTCTAGATCTAGATAGGAAGGCCTCTCTCGTGCTGCATCTAGCATGGAGACTCCTCGATGAGGATTCCTCTTCCTGGAAGGCTATTACAGACACTGCAAACATCAAGCAAGGCTGTATGTGCCAAGAGAATAACAGAGACTGGACTGTTCTATTGTCTTTTCAATACTTGCAGCACATGGCTTGTTCCCAGGCACTACACCATGGGACTATGCCCTACCCCTGAACTACCCTATGAAGAAATGTGGGTCTATAACTAACTTTGCTTTATGATGGTTTTAGCAGTCTTCTTGTGGTGTGCCACTCAACTGTTACCTTATGTACACTGTTGCGCTTGTTTATGCTATTGGGGCATTGGAGGCCTGTTTTGTATCTTTATGCAATACAAAATGAATTAAAATAAATAAAAAGCAACTTTAGTATTGTAAACTTGTCTGAACAGTGCCCTTTTCACCTACTGTTCTTTTATGACGTCTTGAATTAGAACTTAAGGTTTGCCTATTTTACAGTGCGGCAGAACATGTTGGCGCTATATAAATAGCTTTTAAAAATGGGGGGGGGGGGGAGCCAAACAAACCACATACTTCTGTGCTCTCTCTTTATTCTCAGATAACATGTCCAAAGAAGATGCAATAAATCATTTTGTGTGTCTCTTCATGCCCCACCTCCCCCTTCCAGGACGCCAAGATGAGTGTTTCCCTAATAACAGACATTTAGAGCGGACATCTTATCTCTGTGCTGATCTGCATAGACTGTCAGGAAGGGAACTTTTTTCATCCGATTTTAGAGAAATCTTGACATGTTAACAACTGACTCACTAAACATTTAAAGATGAAGTTATTTTTTTTTCATAACAGGTATTTAAGAGCTCACCTTTTGAGATCCTTTCTTATAATGGAACTGTAGCAAATTGGACAACGACTCCAGTCCTTCTCACTTAGAGACAAATAGTGCAAAATACAAGCCCAACAAAAGATATGTCCACATCTAGTGATCTTTGCTGCAATGGGAGGGTACAGGCAGATAGGGCAAGATGGTACCTCGTGGCTACAGATACGCTGCAAAAATTAACAAACATTTAGTGGGAATGAAACTCGTTGTGCTACTGGATAAGGGAGTCAAGAAATGTGTTTCTTTACTGACCACTTGTTCCACAAGGTCCCAGCTAACAAGAGTATCAGGATCCGTAAAGTGGACGCTATAGTCGTGATCTTCAGACACCACAAATTGGCAGCTAGAAAACAATATGGGTTAGCAAGCACAGAAGAAATGTTCTTGCTTTGCAGACTGTTTGAAAGTCACAATGATATAGTGGGAAACAAGCTTAACATTACAAGGAGACCTATGTTTTTACAAACTTGGGAAGAGATATGGAAAGATGTATATAGGTATAATACTACATGCAAAATAGAGCTGGAAAGGAGTGCAGTGGCAGTTTAAAGCTAGATCTGTACCACAATAACAAGGAGAGAATTTACAGTATATGACTCACTTTGCTTGCAGAAAGAGCTCCTTGTTGAAGGGTTTGTGTCCCCACTTATTTCTCCGTCCCCAGTTTGCATGGCCATCACGATGGGTTCCTGGGTGGCCACGTGGTTCAAAAGTGAAGTTGAGAAGATGGTTTAGGCTTATCTTTTTGGGTCCGGAGTACTGGGCGGGGCTAAATTCTGCCCTTTGAGCCTCTGCTACCTGTAGAAGAGAATCAGCAATAATTCTTCAAAATCCCACTTAACAGATAACATGCTTTAAAAGAGAAGATATACTTTCATTTCCAGCTGCTAAACACCTATGTCATTATTACTGCATCTAAACCTACCATTCAAATTGTAAAAGCATTCATGGCAAAAATGACTCTCCTGGATAAGAAAGTGTCAACATGCAGAGCCAAGAAACAGTACAAGAATGGGATACTACAAGTGCCAGGAGTACAGTGCTGTATTCCTTGCACTATAATCCACTTTATTTCCAACTCTCTATGAGTCTGCAGGCACAGGCCCCTGCCCCTTCCCACAGAGAAGAAAACATTGGATTTGCAGAGATCGCCAAGGAGGTGTGGAGGCACAAACACTGCCATGGCTAATCAGCATATGCTCATAAAGAGGAGTTCTGCATGGAGATGCTGAACGGCAGTGCTGTACAATGCAGCACTGCCCCAGGAAGCACCTCTAGTGGCCATCTGAGGAGTGGCCACTGGAGGTGTCCCTACTAGGCTTTAATGTAAACACTGCCTTTTCAATGAAAAACAGTGTTTACATTAAAATGCCTGCAGGGACTGACTATACTCACCAGATAACTACATTAAGCTGTAGTTCTGGTGACTATAGTGTCCCTTTAAGAAATACTTTGAAGGCAGTTTTTTTTCTTCTTTTGTTTTTATTTTAAATATTTAATTACACCTTAAAGTTTTCCTCATTCACAGACAGACAGCTAAAGTTAGAAAGTGTTGCTTCATATTAGTGTTGACAAATTGCCTATGTTGAAAAATTGCTTTTGCCAATGCAGTTGACAATTGTACATTGCACTGGCACACAAACAATCTACATGCAACAGGTTAGTGTGTCGGCTGAAGTGTGCAGGTGCAAGCATGACAGTTTTATGCAGGTACCAATTAGTATATCGCAACATAGCAACTCTCTGATACACAAGAAGGGGGGGATAATTATTGGGTCTATACATACACACAGCATTGGACTGTTCTTTCATTCAGTGCATCGTGCAAAAACTACTCCAGTTTTATGCCAACCTTAACCACCACACCAGCTCTAAAGTGTCATGCTTCAGATAAAGTAGCATTTTTTTTAATTTTTTTTTATTATTTTTTTAATAGGCCATTTAAAGGAACACTATAGTCACCTAAATTATTTTAGCTAAATAAAGCAGTTTTAGTGTATAGATCATTCCCCTTCAATTTCACTGCTCAATTCACTGTCATTTAGGAGTTAAATCACTTTGTTTCTGTTTATGCAGCCCTAGCCACACCTCCCCTGGCTATGATTGACAGAGCCTGCATGAAAAAAAACTGGTTTCACTTTCAAACAGATGTAATTTACCTTAAATAATTGTATCTCAATCTCTAAATTGAACTTTAATCACATACAGGAGGCTCTTGCAGGGTCTAGCAAGCTATTAACATAGCAGGGGATATGAAAATCTTATTTAAACAGAACTTGCAATAAAGAAAGCCTAAATAGGGCTCTCTTTACAGGAAGTGTTTATGGAAGGCTGTGCAAGTCACATGCAGGGAGGTGTGACTAGGGTTCATAAACAAAGGGATTTAACTCCTAAATGGCAGAGGATTGAGCAGTGAGGCTGCAGGGGCATGTCCTATACACCAAAACTGCTTCATTAAGCTAAAGTTGTTCAGGTGACTATGGTGTCCCTTTAAATAAGTCAAATAAAATGAAAACCTGACCCTTTAATAACTTTTGCCTTTTAAAGAAACAGAATGTTATTTTTTTACATTATCACAAATTTTACTAAACGGAGAGCCCCCTTTAAATTTAAGTTATCATAAAACTTAACTCTGGAGTTGTTGAACAGTCTCAATGTACCCTCTCCTGGTAAAGTCATCAATCTTTATGACATTTGCCTATTAGATGCTTCCTAAAGTGAAACGGAGGAATGCACGGTTGGCATAATACACCAATCCAATAGATCTCAAAGAGAAGCACTGAATCCACTGCTTCTCTATACCAAGCATTTGTCACATATGGTGGCACTAAATGTCCATAGAAAGCCAAAGGATATAAGGAGGAAGCGGCTCTAGTGGCTGGGTGAAAGACACTAGAAATTTTTCAGCCAAATCTAAACATTTGTCATTTTCAAGAAATGTATTGGGAAAAATAAAAATAAATATATGAACTAAAACCACTAAAACAAAACAAAACACTAAATTAAGCTGCATTTGTGTTGGTGCTTAGACTATGCCTTTATCTTGTTCCTATATTGAGTGGCATAGGAGGATTGTTGTGGGTACAGCACTTTCGAGTATTTTAAAACACTAAACCTACTGTGAGACTGTATTTAAAGCAAACTTTTATAGAGGATTTCATTGCTCCAGCATGAGAGTCAATGAAGTGCTAGACACTAACATTTGCCAAAATAATTTGATCTCAACTTGAGCTCATCCTTTTCACTGGTCGTCAACGCCTCTTTCAAATACACCTTTGTACTTTCCTAGTTCTTAATCATTGTGCTTACATCGGATGTTACTTGGCAGGGTATGAAATCCTTAAAGGACCACTATAGGAACCCAGACTACTTCAGCTTAATGAAGTGGTCTGGGTGCCTGGTCCAGCTAGGATTTATCCTTTTTTCTATAAACATGGTTTCAGAGAAACTGCTATGTTTATAATGGTGTTGATCCAGGCTCTAGTGGCTGTCTCATTGACAGCCGCTGGAGCATTGATAATGCTTTCCTATGGACTGGCTCAATGCGCGCACGGCTCCTGCCGCGCATGCGCATTCAGAGGAGGAGGAGTTTCCCGCCCAGCGCTGGAGAAAGAGGCAAGTTTAACCCCTTCCTCCCCATTCAGCACAGTGGGAGGGGGACCCTGAGGGTGGGGGCACCCTCAAGGCACTATAGTGTATTGCACTCTGTATTGCATTCAGAAAGAGTGATGTTCTGATCGGAGATGGAGGTACGCAAGAAGGAGGCAGGTGTGCTCAAATAGCACCCCTGAGTGTGGCATGCATGCTCTAACAGAATCAGGAAGTGCACAAATAGAAATTGGCACTTTTATAAAGTGCCTTTCTGATGGGATGATACTCAAGCAATTTCTGAAGTATTGCTTGGGTTTGGAGTAGCACTTTAAAAGCTATCCAAGTCTCAAGCTCTAATACATATTTTTTTATGTCCCCTTAACTGCAGTTTCCTAATCGATAAGCTATTTTTAGACATTGTTTTCCCCTCCTCTATCAGTGCTTGCTTATTAAAAAAACAAACAAAAAAACAAGATTATTCCAATATTTTCTAACCTAGATAGTTTTAGCCTTCCTGACATGTAATGTGCTAAATGTACCTTTATAGCACACATACAGCATAGATGTATTCCTTTTCACCTAGACTACACCCTTGCCTTGAACAAGCAATAAGTACACATTTTGTGACGCTGTCAGGGACTAAACATCCAATAGCCGTAAAACACATGCATTTATGTCTGTTGGTAATGTTAGTGGATACTGGAAACTTCCTCCTGGAATTCTTGTTCCAGGATAGCTAATGACATCCTAATGATACTGAAGGAAGTTTAGTTACACCTCTGGCAGCAAACGGGAAAAACTCCCTATCTGCAGTGTTTCATAGCAAAATGCTGCACCGAGTTGACTCCACACCCACTTCTGCGTGCATGATGCTTTCAGCAATCCTTTAAAGGGAAACTATAGTCACCAGAACAACTACAGTTTATTGCATTTGTTCTGGTGGGTAGAATCATTTCCTTCAGGCATTTTGCCTTAAACACTGTCTTTTCAGAGAAAATGCAGTATTTACATTACATTGCTGCCAGCCTTCCCACGTTTGTCTTATTAAGACTTTATAAGTATGTAGGGGCAGCACCCCTTCCTGTCTCAGAGAAATTTGCCTTTTAGCTGATACCAGCAAGGTGATTTGTATGTTATAGCCCTATTCAGGGTAAAGTATGTAGGGGTTTATAAAACACCCTCTCATGTCTCATTAGAGACGTCTATACTTTGATATCAGCAAAGTTTATTGTATGTGCAGAAGCCCTATAAAGGGTTAAATGTTAAAGGGTTTATAAAATACCCCTTCCTGTCTTATTGGAGACTCTTGGCTTATATCAGCGTTATCTAATGGCTAGTGTAGGAACTCACCTATTGAGGCTTGCCTTGACGTGGCTGGTGAGCTTATATATTCTAAAGGCCATTTAGAATAGAACTAAAGAGCCTCCATTTTTGTTCAAATGCACATGGGGATCTAGGCCAGAGCGCAGGTAACGTTTTTCTTTGTTTTTACAGTGTTTACATTACAGCCTAATGATAATTTCACTGGCCACTCCTCAGGTAGCGGTTAGAGATCCTTCCTGGGTCATGGCTGCCTAAAATGCATCCAAACATTCAGTATCTCCTCCCTCTGCACGCAGACACTGAACTTTCCTCATAGAGATTCATTGATTCAATTCAACTCTGAGGAGATGCTGATTGGCCAGGGCTGTGGTTGAATTGTGCTGGCTCAGCCCCTAATCTGCCTATTTGTCAGTCTCAGCCAATCCTATGAGGAAGCATTGTGATTGGATCAGGCCACCACTTCTGATGTCAGCAGACTTTTTTTTTTTTAAGGCAAACAGCATGTAGAGTTACAGCTTCAGGCTTTAATACAGTAAGATTTTGCTATGTTTACGGAGGCATGAGGGACCCAGGGGGGGACTACATGGTAGTTTTAACACTATCGGGTTAGGAATACATGTTTGTGTTCCTGACCCTATAGTGATCCTTTAAATGCCTCAAAATCAGCACGTCTGATGAAGTGAAATGTTTTGTACCAGATAGCAGGAATTATCAGGTCTTTGGCACAAATGCCCCAAATACAACTCTGCCATTACATAGATCTCAAATAGTAAAGAAAGCAAACAACTGAGACGTAAAGGGATTTGCAAAATTGAATATTGTTGAACATTGACTCCAACAATGAGTTCAATCCCTAAAATTGAACTGCTTACCTCTTCCCTCCTTCCATATGTATACTGTTTGGTGACTCCTCTTTGAGGTGGAACCTTGTTAAAAGTCTTGCTTTTCTGTGGGCCGGAGCGGCGGGGCTGACTTGTGAAGCTTTCATTTTTGGGGTTTTCACGTTTTCGGCTGTAGCGCTGTTTCGAGCTACTGCCGTTTTTCCCATCTGCAATAGATAGTCCAATAAGTGAGAATGTAATAGTGTACACACACACACACACACCCCTACCCCCAAAAAAAGAGACTTTAGAAAAAAATGAAGAAAAAAAAACAACCCACACAGACTGCTACTAAGCAGAAAGCAAGTCTTCTGTACAGGAACACTACTCAATGCAACAATTTTAACAATCTAAACATAGAAAATTTAAGTTGAATTGAAGGTGAATTTCTAATTTATGGTCAAAATAGCCACAATGGAAAAATTATCTAAGTCACCTATGTATTCCAATTAGCTACGCTGGCCTAAAATTTTAAATTCACCTTCAATTCTCAAATTAATGAATAGCTCTGGTATAAAGTCAACATAAATGCGAGTTGGTGAGGTTATCTGAGTATGCAGAGAAGGGTGGAGGTATAAGAAAAACCAAAATAGTCTGCCTTAACCACATTGTGATAGCAGCTAATTACACGGCAGAATATGACATGGAATTGAACCTTTAACCCCTTAAGGACCGGCCTGTTTTGGCCATGTTGTACGTTAAGGACCAGAGCGGTTTTAACACTTTTGTGGTTAGCTGTAATTTTCCGTTCTCATTTACGGTTCCCATACAAATTATATATTGGGTTTTTTTCAGGAAAAGAAGGGCTTTCTTTACATACCATTATTTGTATCATGTCATAATTTACTTTAAAAAAAAAGTTTTTTTGACCTTTACTTAAAGGGACACCTGAACAACTTTAGCTTAATGAAGCAGTTTTGGTGTATAGAACATGCCCCTGCAGCCTCACTGCTCAATCCTCTGCCATTTAGGAGTTAAATCCCTTTGTTTATGAACCCTAGTCACACCTCCCAGCCTTCCATAAACACTTCCTGTAAAGAGAATTTAGGCTTTCTTTATTGCAAGTTCTGTTTAACCCCTTAAGGACGCAGCCAAATGTACACGTTGTGAACGAAACAAAACGTAAACAAAACCTGGCATTTGCGCTACATGTCTGTCCAACTGTAATTCACCTCTTTCTTATTAAATGCACCCACCCTTATTATATATCATTTTATTCAGGGGAAACAGGGCTTTCATTTAATATCAAATATTTAGCTATGAAACAATTTAATATAAAAAAAAAAAAAAGAGATAAAATAAGATTTTTTTAAAAAAAATTTTTTAGTTCTACATGACATTTTAACTGTCAATGTCATAATACGGTTTGCTTTTACTGCAATAAAATACACATTTGTATTCAGCGATGTCTCATGTGTAAAACAGTACCCCCTATGTACAGGTTTTATGGCATTTTGGGAAGTTACAGGGTCAAATATAGCACGTTACATTTGAAATTGAAATTTGCCAGATTGGTTACGTTGCCTTTGGGATAGTAGCCCAGGAATGAAATTTACACCCATAATGGCATACCATTTGCAATAGTAGACAACCCAAGGTATTGCAAATGGGGTATGTCCAGTCTTTTTTAGTAGCCATTTGGTCACAAACACTGGCCAAAATTAGCGTTAGTATTTGTGTGTGAAAAATGCCAATTTTGGCCAGTGTTTATGACTAAGTTGCTACTAAAAAAGACGGGACATACCCAGTTTGCAATACCTTTGGTTGTCTACTATTGCAAATGGTATGCCATCATAGGGGTAAATTTTCATTCTTGGGTCTCAAAGGCAACGTAACCAATCTGGCAAATTTTAATGTGAAAATAATTAAACACAAGCCTTATATTTGACGCTGTAACTTTTGAAAACACCATCAAACCTGTACATGAGGGGTACTTTTGTACTCGGGAGACTTCGCTAAACACAAATATTTGTGTTTCAAAACAGTAAAAAGTATCTGCCAAATTGTAATTAAAATATTACATAAATATGCACGTAGAATTTAAAAATATATACATATTTATATATTTGAAGTCTACGTGGATATAGACTTAATAAAAAAAAATATATATATTTTTTTTTCATTCCAAATTATTTTGAGATATATATATTAGTTAAAATAAAGTTACACAAAATAATTTTTACATTTGTATTTATTTATATTTTATAATATAGATATATATATACACACACACACGTTTAATTATATGTGTATTTTTCTATTACTATAATTACACTTCGTATGAGGGAAAAAAAAACAAAAAAATTATATATATATATATATATATATATATATATATATATATATATATATATATATATATATATATATATATATATATATATATATATTTTCACAATAGTTTCTGGCACTCATCCCATAGCAAAAGCATTAATTCAGCAATGACCAGGTGCCTCTCCATGCAAAATATACAAATGGAACAAATTGAGAGCACTCATTGGATTTAGTAAACAAAAAAATATATTAAATCAAACGCATATAAATCAACGTTTCGACCGTCTAGCGGTCTTTATCAAGAAGCTTCTTGATAAAGACTGCTAGATGGTCGAAACGTTGATTTATATGCGTTTGATTTAATATATTTTTTTGTTTACTAAATACAATGAGTGTTCTCAATTTGTTGTGTGTGTGTGTGTGTGTATATATATATATATATATATATATATACACACACACACACTTTACTAACATTTTTATTTATATTTTCCAGCAGCAGGGAGACTTTCTGACAGCAGAGGCAATCCCCATGCAGGCAGATACTTGGACACCTATTGCAGCCATGTGACCGCTCTGTTAGAGCGATCACATGGCCGCGGGGACCTAATTTGCAGTGGGGATACTGTCTGGACTGTCAAGCCCCCTAGACCAGAGGCAACACAGACCAGGCAAGTAATTGACGGTTCAGGACCATTATCAAGGGGATGTTTCTGATGGCTGTCTTGAACCGTCATTGTTCGTTAAGGAGTTAAAGTTATGTTTACAAATAAATTTGGTGTGAAAGATAGAATTAAATGCAGAAATTTACAGCAGTGTTTTACAACTGAGTGCCTCTATCATATCTTCCCATCAGTTAAAAGCTGTATTTTTGCACATGGCACTCAACATTCTTTTCTCTATGCTTCTATTCCCACTCATTTGCCATGTTTACTGTAGCTAAACTGGATTGTATAGCTAAATCTGTGATAATCTTAAAGGGACACTATAGTCACCAGAACCACTACAGCTTAAAGGCGTCTCCAACCACTAGTAGCAGTTATTTAAAGTGGTTATAGTGGAATGAGCCTGGATGCTGCAGTGTCATCTTGAAAAAAACACTGAACGCCAGATATATTGCCAATTATGTGCTAGGAAAAGTTGCATCCCCAGCACGGGTGACATTGGCAGCCCAGAACTCTGCTTCAGACCAACCAGATCGCCTGCAATGATAAGCTAGCTCTCCCCTCCCACCATGCAGCATTGGGTTTCGCTCTGAGCCAGCGATATGGTCCAATCACAAGATTCTATATGATTAGCATGTGATTGAGAGTTTTGGATTCCTAACACTATAGTGTTCCTTTAATATCCATTTTAAGAGTTTCACACTCTACTTGCTAAGCATCACTGGATTAACCCTCAGCAGATGTAGGTCCAAGTTAATGTTTTCATTACAGGGAGCATGGTACACCTAACAAGTGGCTGATCTGAAAATAGGTGTGAGGGAGAGTACCCATAATCCAGGAGAAGGAAAACCCCTTTTATTGTAACTTGTATTATCACTTGCAGTAACACAATGCATGCCATAGCTGCTCTATAAAGCCATGGGACCCAGTGTGGGACACAGTAGACCAGCTCTGGGCCCTACCAGCACACCCCACACAGAGACAGAGACAGAGACAGAGACACAGACAGACACACACAGAGACAGACACACACACAGAGACAGACACACACAGAGACAGACACACACAGAGACAGACACACACAGAGACAGACACACACAGTCAGTCCCAGCACTACAGACCGGCCATGACAGCAGCAATCAGTCCATACACACAGGGGCCGGGTCTGGACAGCTCGGGGCTCTGTATAACAGTGGCCCAGCACACACACAGCCCTCACCGATTTTGGGCTTAGACTCCCCGGCAGGTCCAGCGGAGCCCGAGCGGTTCTGGTTCTTGTTGTTGGATCCGGGCTCCATGTCTGCCGCAGAGCCGGGGCAGCTCAGGGGCATAGGCCGGGGGGAGCAGGGGGGCAGCACGGCTCGGGGGGCAGCTGGAAGCCAAGAGCATGGCGTTCAGGAGCGGCGGACAGCGGAGAGCGGGACTCATGGCGACATCTTCCGAGAGAGAGACCGACACAGGAAGAAATCACCGGGCGGGGGGCCTGGAAACAGAGAAAGCGGGGGGCAGGCGGGGGGCCTGGGAGGAGCGGGCGGCTCCGGGAGCAGGGGGGGAGGGGCCCTCGGTGGGTCACGGCCCGGGGTCTGGGGCCCAGGCGGGTGTCGGGGGCTGGGTGTTTCCGCTCCCGGGAGCGGGGCTGATATTCCGAGCCGCGTTCGTAATGGCGACTGCTCGCCTGACGGTGCCAGATCCCCGGATGAGGTGGTTATATAGGGGGGGCGGGGCCGGACCGCGAGGCCTGCCGGGAGTTGTAGTTCCTCCTTCCCTCCCCAGGGCCAGGCCGAGTTAAAGGGTTAACAGACCGTCCTAGCCGTGGCACGGGCCGGGGTCAGCTCCATGATGGCGGCGCCCATGACAGCCTTGCTTCGGGCCCGCCTGGCAGGAGCCTGCAGTGGGGTGAGGAGGTGGAGACACACCGAACAGGCCAGGAAGGAGACTCACTTCGGCTTCCAGACCGTGTCCGAGGAGGAGAAGGGAGAGAGAGGTGAGACCTAGCGGGGTTATTCACTAAAGTGCGAATTCAGTGCGAGACTTTCACGAAGCAGAGCTGAATTAGAGAATGTTTCCAGCTCAGCTGTTCTGACCTTACAGTGGAAATTCACTGTGAATGCTCACTTTAGTGAAAAGCCCCGCATTGGGGCAATGTGTGAATATATAAATAATGTTTTAACACTTTTATTGGAGTCCACCTGTGGCATATTCAATTGATTAGATATGATGTGGAAATGCACACTCCTATAGGGTCTCACAGCTGTAAACCGGTATCAGAGCAAAATCCAAGCCATGAGGTCCACCTGCAGACCTAGAAAAATAATTGTGTCGAAGCACAGATCTGGGAAAGGTTACAAAAAATGTAGCTGCATTGAATGTTTCCAAGATCACTTAATTCTAAAATAGAAGTTTGCAGTACCCTGGACTCTTCATAGACCTGGCATTTGATAAGAGATGTGACCAATGACCTAATGGACATTCTCTGTGAACTTCAGAGGTGGAAACAGAAGAAACTTGCATAAGGACAGCCATCACTGTAACACTCCACTCATCTGTTCAGCCTCTCTCCTCACTGCAAGACACAATAAAGCCAACTTGGAATTTGCAGAAAAGCACATAAAGCAATGGCAGAACTACCGTGGTTGTAAAGGTTGCAAGTGCGACTAGGTAGGCAGCCACTGGGGGCAGACTTAGAGCTGCAATGTAAACATTGCCGTTCTCTGGAACTGCAATGTTTTACATTGAAGCACTAAGTGCAAAAGGGTCACAGCTTCCAGACTACTTCAATTAGCTGAAGTGGTCTGGGTGCCTATAGTGTCCCCCCACCTGTGCTGCGTGAGTTGGGGGCTATTAAACTAAAGGGGGGACCTAGCATTCCTGGCCCCCACCCATGAGTGGCGGGTGGGGGCTCTAAATGAAAATGGGGGGACACCTAATTCCCCGGCCTCCACCCATGAGTGGCGGCCCTAAATTAAAAAATAGGGGGGACCTATTGTCCTCCCGACCCCCACCCATGGGTGATGGGGTGGGGGTAAATGTAAACCCCTCCCCACACAATTTTTTTTTTTTAATAAAGACCTAACTACCTAACTCACCCTAAAAATAGTGAGGGGTAACAAGAGTACTAAATACCTGTAAATAAAAAATAACTTACCATGTGATATCTTCTTTTTTTTTTTCAGCCCCAAAAAAGGCCAAATAAAAATTCATAATACCCGCCGCAGTTGTTAAAATAAATATAAAAAAAAAAAAAGCTAAAAAAAACAAAACAAACTCGACAGTAAAAAAGTAATCCATGTTCACCCAGCGAGGGCACCATGCAGACTGAACTCCGAAGGGCAGGGAAAGGCTAGGTCCTACCTTCAGTTTAATAGCCCCCACTCGCGCAGCTCGGGAGGGGGAACACTAGGGGGCTTTTTTTTTTTTTTATAACAGTGAGTAGCCACTGGCTGCTCACTGTTTAGTAGACATGCCCCTACTCGGGGGCATAGCGTATAGGGGCATTAGTGAGATTTTAATCTTCCTTATGCTATTATGGGGGTCATAGTGACCCCCATAGAGCGAGGGAGGACATAGGGGGCTTAGGAAGTGACAGGGAACACTGCTCCCTGCCACTTCTATTTTTACATATTACAAGTAGGTAGCTGCGTGCCGGTAGTTCCCTCCTTGTAATAAACCAAACGAACGAAGAGGACTTTGTTCATTCAATTGAAATTTCTATTCATTTATTTGTCTTTCTGACAAATAAATGAATAGATGAAATTCCCGTTCGAATGCCCCAGTGTTTAAATAGGCATGCGCGGGAATTTCACAGCGCTATCTAGTGTGGGCATATGACGTGTCCCACAGGGATTTCATCTACCCACACAAAGACGGCAGTGCCCAGGACCTAGGTCTGGGCACGAAATTAAAGATGCAAAAATAGGCAAGATGGGGGCTTGGGAGCCTTTGGGGGTGACTAGGGGGACCATTAGATGTAGTGGAGTCGAGTGGGGGGGGGGGTTAAATTTTTTTTTATTTATTTATTTTTTTTTATTTTTTTTAACTACGGGATTCGGCCATGACAGTGCCGCATTAATGCATTATAACATCAGTGTTACTTTAAGATTTGCATTGCTCTCTGCTGTGAAGGTTTCTGGACTTCTGCATTATAATGTATGCATTTGTCTATTACTCTTGGAATGAGAACACATATTTTTTTTGGACTCTGACTATATATATATATATATATATCTATATCTCTATCTGTCTATCTATCTATCTTTCATCTTCTACTGCTTGAGGCTGTGCTCCAAGATCAGTTCACAGAGGTAGAACAATGGATCACAGGTAAACATTTCTTAAACACTGACAGAACTGTCACAATGATCTTTGGATCAGTTCCTAAACTACATACATTACAAAATTCCTATCTATGCATCAGAACAAAATCAAATACACTGACGACAGTCCGTTCCTTCAAATATCTAGTTATGTTGCTACACCCCATACTATCTTTTGGCCTCCACATGGAAAAACTCTCATCAAAACTAGGTGCCCTGTACAGAAACAAATCCTGCCTAAGCCCCACAGTAAGAAAACAGATTGTACAACAAATGTTAATATCAGTCATTATGGGGATGTAGTGTGTGCACCTGCGTCGCCAACCGCCATAAGTTTATTACATTGTATAACTCATTCTGCATCTGTGTGCTCCAATTTAATTACATGACCCAGCATTGTGACATGTTAAAAGAACTATATAATCAGAGCTGGAAGTGCACTCAGCCCCTCACTGAGGAATCCATGGTGCTCTTGAAAAGTCCCAGTACCCAAAAGGACCAAAGTAGATACATTTGTAGAAAATGATCAAGGCACTCCAATAATTTCCAATTCTTAAGGCAATTTATTTGGACCAGGAACTACAAAGCAACGTTTCAGCCCTAACAGGGCTTTTTTCAAGCTTGAAAAAAGCCCTGTTAGGGCTGAAACGTTGCTTTGTAGTTCCTGGTCCAAATAAATTGCCTTAAGAATTAGAAATTATTGGAGTGCCTTGATCATTTTCTACAAATGTTAAAAGAACTAAACTGGCTGGAATCCCGATGCACCCTTCATCTTTCAAGCCTTGTGTTTAACCCCTTAAGGAAGGCGGGCGTGCTATGCCATCCTTAGGGAACCGGCTCTAAAGGCCGGCAAGCGGCATAGCACGTCCCCATTGTCCAGGGTACTTATCCGGTCGCCCTCTCCTTCCTCTTTGGCCCTCCTGAGCCATGTGATTGTGAGGTCCTTGTGAGGACCTCGCGATCACATGGACAGCATAGCCAGCGCCTGTAATGACAGGTACTCCCCCTGCTGTCTATATATATATATATATATATATATATATATATATATATATATATATATATATATATATATATATATATATATATATAAATGCTAAACAGTTTAAAATTACATTATATATGCTTAGATCATATATATATCTCTATATATATATCTCAAAGTAAACGTAGAATGATATTGAATATATATATATATATATAATGTAAAATAACTATTTTAAAATATATATTGATATCAAAATACATGTAGAACGAAATAAGCTATATTTATAAAAATAATTTTAATTTTTTATATATATATATATATATATATATATATATATATATATATAAAAAATTTTAAATTATTTTTATAAATATAGCTTATTTCGTTCTACATGTATTTTGATATCAATATATATTCATTTTAAAATAGTTATTTTAATATATATATATATATATATATATATATATATATATATATATATACACACACAATATCATTCTACGTGTACACTTAGACAGTATTATATATAATATATACACACACGTGTGTGTGTGTGTGTGTGTGTGTGTGTGTATATGTATATAATAATTCTACATATATATTTATGTAATTTACATAAGTAGGTCATTTTAATAATTACAATTTGCGGGACCTGCCTGACAACCCAGGCCAAAAGTCCAGGGAATTTAATTTGCTAGCACTATATTTACTGGGTACTGTTTTACTCGGAAGACTTCACTGAACACAAATATTAGTGTTTCAAAACCGTTAAATGTATTACAACGATGATATCTTCAGTGAAAGTGAAATTTTTTGCATTTTTCACACACAAATGACACTTACATTGACGATATTGTTGTGATACGTTTTACTGTTTTGAAACACTAATATTTGTGTTCAGCGAAGTCTCCTGAGTATTACAATAACCATCATGTACAGGTTCTATGGTGTTTTCAAAAGTTACAGAGTCAAATATAAGGCTTGCGTTTCAGTTTTTTCACATTGAAATTCGCCAGATTGGTTACGTTGCTTTTGAGACCGTATGGTATCTGAGGAATGAAATTTACCCCCATGATGGCATACCATTTGCAATAGTAGACAACCCAAGGTATTGCAAATGGGGTATGTCCAGTCGTTTTTAGTAGCCACTTAGTCACAAACACTGGCCAAAATTGGCGTTCAAATTATTTTTTTTGCATTTTTCACACTCAAACAAATATTAACACTAGTAGCCACTTGGTCACAAACACTGGCCAAAGTTAGTGTTAATATTTGTTTGGGTGTGGAAAAATGCAAAAAAACAAATTTGAAACCAATTTTGGCCAGTACGTATGTTTATTTTTTAAAGTGGTTTAGGGGATACCACTTTAAGGCGTTTTTGAGCTTCTCACTACTATTCAATGTGAAAACACTAAAGAATGTAACATGCTATATTTGACCCTGTAACTTCCCAAAACATCATAAAACCTGTACACAGGGGGTACTGTTTTACACGTGAGACATTGCTCAGTACAAATATGTGTATTTTATTGCAGTAAAAGCAAACAGTATTATGACATTCACAGTTAGAATGTCACATAGAACTAAAAAAAAATATTAAAATTCTTATTTTCTCCCATTTTTTTTATATTTTATTCATATTAAATTATGTTTCATACCTAAATATTTGATGTTAAATGAAAGCACTGTTTCCCCTGAATAAAATGATATATAATATGTGTGGGTGCACATGAATTATGCCTGAACTGACATATAGCGCAAATTCAAGTTTTTTTTTACGTTTTGTTTTGATCACAATGTGTACATTTGGCTCAGCTTTTCTGGGATGCTTCCACCCTACCTGAGTAAAATGCTGTTCCTTCCTCTTATAACCTCCGATTCAGTACCAGCACTTTATTTCTTATACCACAATACAAAAAGAAAGTGGTTCGATCCTCATTTTCCTACAGAGTACCGCAATTATGGAATAACCTCATGGAAACAATCAAATCTTCTGTCAGTCTAAAATCCTGTAAGATATGTCTGCCAATATATCTCAATACAGAATGCACTTTTAATCATATTCTATGTTTTATTTGTTATGTGTTAAATTTATATATGTGTATTATTTTTAATATTGTATCTTGTTTAACAATGTAATGGTTGTGGGGAAAGGAAAAACGTAAAAATAAGAGAAATCTCAATGTATCCTTCCTTGTAAAATACTTTGTAAATTAATAAAAATAAATATTGCGTGTTTAATGCATCTGTTTTCTCTCTACTCTTTTCTTTTCCTAGTTTATCAGGTGTTTGAAAATGTAGCCAGAAAATATGATCTAATGAATGATTCTATGAGTCTGGGGGTACATCGACTATGGAAAGATTGGCTGATACAGTACATGAACCCTACACCTGGCACTAAACTACTAGATGTGGCAGGAGGAACAGGTAAAATATCCAATTTCTATTCAGTCTGTTTGAATCTTTACTACAGCTGAAAAATCTATTATGGTTTTCATATTTTATTTTTTATTTTTTTTGTCTTCTCAAAATGTTTCTTCCACCTTTACATCCCTCCTTTTGTTTTTTTTTTTTTTTGTTTTTTTTGAATTCTTACTACAGAAGCATATATTATTATTTTTTTTTTAACATTCATTATTTAATACGAATTTTCAAATAAAGGTAACATGAAAATCATGGGATAAAGGTTAAGGTAAGCAAGGGCAGGAAAAGTACACACATCAAACATCATAGTAAAAAAAGTCTCAAACAGCAAATAAATAGCACCGGAGACGTAAATGGGAAATATATAGAGGTGAGATCCCTATGTAGTGTCCTCCAAATGATAAGGGCCTAACCCTAAGTTAAGTACAACAAAAAGTTCCATTCCAGAACTAGGTTATTCAGAGTGACACGAACAGATAGAGCTAGCAAAATAAAGTAAATGTGAAAGTAATTCCAAACCAAAAAACAGCCTAAGTGAAAAATAAATCCAAGTTCACTAGAGAACTTAATAAGAAACACCTACGCATGCCGATGCTTTAAATCACTGATGAATAACCTAGTTCCGGGATGGAACTTTTGTTGTACAGGAGACGTAAATGGTTGCACAGCTCTGTTTGAATTGTATTTGTTCTTACCCTTGAGGGTTGTGTCCCCTCATATTATCTTATGACTGCATTGTCCTGAACGATCCTTAATCTACTAATGGTGTGCTCTGCTGTCTGTACTTAAACTGGCTCTTACCTTTCTCCTATTGTTTCCTCTGCTCTTCCTCTTTCAGAATCTGTTCTTTTTTTATTTCTGGTCTAGTTCTCTTTTAAACGGAAAACAAAGTAGGGACTACTTTGTATTATGTATTTTTCCTACTCAATTATTTTGGCTTGCATGTCAACGATTCTAGTGAATAAAGTGAAGTGTATAAATCCCATAATGCCAGCAAGTAAATGACACCGTCATGAGTGACCTAAAATTATTTGAAGATTTATGAGTGATGGTAGTAAGTACTTAATAGTTATACTGTGTATATTTGGAGATAATGCTGTTTCTCCAGGGTGTAAAACCAGAATTTCCTGCATTGTTTGGCTTTCAAATAGGAGTTTGTTTTTTTTTTGTTTTTTTTAGTTCCTTAACAACATTTGTTGTTTGGAATTGTTGACACTTTTTTGAACAATCAGTTGTTCAGTGATCAACAGGACAAAGTAAAAAAAACAAAACACACAAACAAACAACATTGTGCCTGTGTGTGTTTCTCTTTCTATATATCTATATGTATGTGTGATAGATCTATCTATCTATATATATATATATACATTATCTATCTCTAATACAAATACTCATAGATGATTTCGGCAGACATCTTAATAAAGCACTTAGGGTTCTTTTAATCTTAGGGCAGTGACATCAATTCAGCCCCTCTCCCAGTAAGTCAGAATTTTTATTGTCTACATCTCTTCAAGTCCGCTGAAATAATGATGGCAGGTGCTGCCCAGGGCACAAACTTTTATTACTCTTGGGCAAACCCAAACAACCCGCAGTAAATGGTAAAATGTTAAAACTTGATCTGTCTCTTGAAATGTATCAGTCTAGTTATTGTTGCATTTAGCAATTTCTGTGTGACTAATTCGAACAGTACCTGCTAAAGTAGATTTCTAAATAAATGGAGTTGTTCTTCTATAGCTCATATGAATATGCTTGAAAACAAATGAGATCCATACATATAAATTGGTTTGGGTCCTCAGCTGATATACAAATGCGACTAGGAACAATCAAATGGTTACTTCAGGCACCATGACAATATCAGTGATTTAAAGTGGTCATGGTGCCTGAAGTCTGTATGTGTTGCGTTTTGCTATGAAATACTCTACATATGGAGAATTACCCTATTCTAGAGAACATCCAATTTTATTTAGTAAGTGTTTCAGGGCACACTTGTATGATTAATCTTTTTATTTAGGTGATATCGCATTCCGCTTTGTAAATTACATCCGTGCTCAAAAGGAAAAAATGATCAGGCATAAGTTGAAGTACCAGCAGAATCTGTCATGGTCAGAAATCTCAAGAGCCTACCAACAGGAGGAACAAGGATCCTTGGGTGGATCCCGAGCTGTCATCTGTGATATAAACAAGGAGATGCTTAAGGTTGGGAAGCAGAAATCACTGACACTGGGATATTCAGAAGGTGAGTTTTGTATTAATACTTATGGCAAATAGGCATGCAAAGGAGACTTTCTGTTGTTCATAATACATTTTGCAATCAAATTAAGGAACACTCCAAGCACCATAACCACCAAAACATTCCGTAGTTATGATGCGTATAGTTTTCCTTTAAATAAATTAATGAATATTTTATTCTACCTGCATTCTTAAGTAGATCTTATAGGCACCAGAACCACTGCAGCTTAATGTAATGGTGCTCGGGCAAATAGCCTGCCCCTGCAAACTGAGAATATGCAGTGTTTACACTGCTGTCAAGGGCCACCTCTAGTGGAAACAAAGTGATCTAACCCCTAAATGGCAGAGAATTGAACAGTGAGACTTCAGAGGCTTGATCTATACACCAACACTGGTTCTTTAAGCTAAATTATTTTGGTGACTATAGTGTCCCTTTAATAATAAACTTCATCGTCTCTGTGGCCATCATCCACAAAGTAGTATTAGGTCGCATGGACTTCAGGCCTGTAAAATATGTTACAGGCTTTTGGAAGAAACTCCCACAAGATGTTTGGTGTTCTACATTGTCTGGTTGCATAAAGCCATTATGTGGATAACCTCATACATTTCAGAGCCTGGCTAGAATGCAGCAAACATCAGTAATTTGTTTTTGTTTTTCTTCTCCTGCCAGGACTGTCGTGGGTTGCAGGCAACGCTGAGGAATTGCCTTTTGATGACGATAAGTTTGATGTCTATACCATTGCATTTGGAATCCGCAATGTGACACACATAGACCAAGTGAGTGGCACACATAAAATCATAGAACACAGGAGTGCTATATTTAAATACTAGACATTTTGGCACCTCATACATTGCACATGTTGATGGTATGCTTAACAAAGTTACTATTGGAAGATGTTTTCTAGGTGTATGTTAAGTAAAGAATGCATTAATTTGCAAATTGGAATTAAACAAAATTGAATGCTGAGATTACATATCTTGACAGATTAAAGGGTTTATCCCTAAACTCCGAAATGAAATCCAAATGGAAAAAAATGGCAAATACAGATGGTTTGAATAAATTCTCTAAGCCTTCTATAATAGCTACTTTAGTCTTCATTTCATCATTCAGATTGCTGTTTGCTACATATTGGAGTTTAGAATATAAACCTGTGTGATGGCAAAAGAGAATCAGAGTGAAAGGAAAAATCAGGATGGTTAAAAAGAAAATTGGGGGGGGGTGGGGGGGGAGAGAGGCGTGGCCTGGATGGAGATGGCCACCTAACAGAGGAGCTCCGTCCCGCTCAGCAATTAAACCGCATATATGGCAGCATAACCTACCTGATGGGCCGCAATAAAAGGTCCGACTCTCACCCGACAGAGAAAGGACCCCAGCAGTCACAGCAGACTGGTACGCTGGATGGGTATCTAAGAACACCGACCAGACAGCCACGCGCTGTACTGGGATCCAAGATGGCTGACAGCCGAGCTCCAGCACAGGTACCTGACGCACAGGAACCCTCCCTAGCAGATATTAGGGCCCTCACAGAAGCCATGGTCACAAAATCTGACCTTCAAGCCCTATCAGCAAACCTACATAAAGTGATAAGATCAGAGGTAGCCACACTGCAGCGGGACCTCACAGCCCAAGATGGCCGCCTACAGACCCTGGAAGGTGCACAGCAAACCGCTGCGACCAGAATAGAGGCCACAAACGCAGCAGTAGGTAGACAGGGGGCAATACTGCTGCAAATAAGAAGACAAACAGAAGACCTGGACAATAGGGGTGCAGATCCAACATAAGGATCCGCAACGTACCTAAAGACCCTGGGGAAGATGATGTTGGAGCCATGCTGACAGACCTATTCAGGGAAATCCTGGGCCCAGATGCCCCGCAGCGCTTCGACTTCGACAGAGCACACAGGGCTCTGAGACCCCACACTACAGAAAACCTACCAAGGGACATTATATGCTGCCTACACGAATACAGGATAAAGGAACTTCTAATGAACAAGGCTAGAACCAAACAAACTTGGCGGTTCCGGGGAGCGGACATATCCCTGTTCCAAGACCTATCACCCCTCACATTAGAGGCCCAAAGAGCCCTGAGGCCAGTGACGCAGCTACTGAGAAGCCGAAATATACCATATAAATGGGGCTTCCCCTTTTGCCTGACCATTAAACATGGCAACGAATGGAAGTCCCTATACTGGCCAGAAGAAGTATCCACATTCCTACTAACCATGGGTCTGCCTCACACTGAAGTATTAGACTAGGTCCTGGGCCCGCTAGAGCAGAGAAACAACCAAATGGCACCTAGAGCATCCAGATGCCGCAAAGAAGATTCGCCGCAAGGACGTCAAGCACGCAGATACCAACAGCCAGCGCAACAAGCACACCCCGGAGCAGAATAGGCCTCAGAACAAGAGATGGACCCCATGGCACGAACCAGCAGAGGTATAAAGTTTCCCGCAGCAGACAAGACGAACTTCAAGACCAAGGACACACAGATAAGTACAATACACACTTAGACTTTTGGACACCCAATGACAGTGACAATGACAAATGATCCCAGGACACAGGATGCCTATAGTACCTCCTAGACTCAAGGCAACATAAGCACCACCCCCCACCTTACAAGTAGAGACACTGGATCACTACCATCACTGAGAGATTTCGCCTCCTGATCAACCCCAGGGAACCACAGCAGGTTGGGGGGAACAGGGCAGAGGGCATACAAAAAAACCCAAAACAAAACAAAAAAAACGATGGGACCCCAGCATATGGAACACTTGCATGCAAACAAAGGGATGGGACTGCGCCAATGGGCAAATTAAATGAAACTAAAGGGCCTGGTTGAGGTGGTAATATTGAAATAGAGTCCAGTATAATGGAACTTTGATCTTATGTTGGTCTCTGGAGTTGTAGAATTTTGCTCCTTACAGGTGTATGGAGGCGGGCGATGAGTGATGAAAATAATAGTGGTAAAGGGTGATCCAAAAGGTATCCAAATAAAATAGAAGAGATAATACTCACTTTTTATAGAGCTTAATCCAGCTCTGGTATGAATAGCTTGCAGCGGTATAATCCCCGCTTATGGGATATGCGGTGAGTCTTCTCTTCGGTGTAGTGACTGACAGACAGCCAGGGGGGAGATAAAAACAAAAAAGCAGTGATGGTGCAGTATGTTCCAAAAGTGGATAAAAAGTATTTGAATATAGTAGATACACTCACATTTAATAGAGCTTATACTAGCTCTAGTGTAGTAGGCATACAGCGGTATGATCCCCGCCTCTAGGATATATGGTGAGCGTTCTTTGAAATAGTTCTTTAAGATGGTAGCAGGAGCTCAGGGAGAAGATAATAAAACCGCAATAGTGCTAAAATAATGCTGGTGTATGTAAAATATACTCACAATGTATAGGGCAGGCTAACTGCTCTATGATACAGGCACGGGTGGTATAATCCCCACCTAAGGATTCTTTGGAGTATAGGAGATAATTAGGAAAAAAGCCAGGTGGTTATAATAAAAAAAAAAAAATATATAAAAAAGTAAATAAATAAAAGATAATGGTGCAAAAGAATAAAATGACCAAAATCTATTTATTAACAGTAATTAAAAAGCAGTACAATATCCAAACGCGTTTCACCAATATAGGCTTTATCAATGGATTAAAAAAGTTGCATGGACTGACTACAATCAGACGCGGATGCACAGCTCCTGAGCAGGGACTATGTGACACTGTTCGATGGTGGGGTTGTTGACAGCGGGTATAGGGAGATAGGGAACAACAGGGTCAGAGGTCAGGAGAGGGGGAGGGAGGGGACAGAGACCTAGGAAGAAGATGGCTGGCTGGGAGGGAAGAGATGGGAAGGGGAAAGGAGGGTATGAGAGACAGATGCCTACCATATGGAATAAGTTGCCGAAAGTCAATCGTACAATACGACGGGAGAAGGGAAGGAGGGAGAAGAGACCTAGATGGGAGGGGTGGGGACATCGTAGGAAGAGGAGAAGGTATAGTGTCTTAATATGATAATAATCCTGATTGTTTGGTAATTGAGGGGTGGGGGGGATATGTGATCTAAAGAAGTGGGGGAGGGAGTGAAGCTATAAGCTACTCAGAATGTCTATGTATGATAAACTTGCAAATCTTTTCAAGTGTTTAAATATGCTGAAGCACATACCATATGCGTAGCCCCACCGAGCTGTTGCCCAACCCCAGCATAAAGGGACACATAGAGACTGGTCAACTGCCTGTAGGCAGAAACAGATGACCCAAGGAAAACACGCAAGACAATTTCAAGTTCCCTAGGGCACTCATGTCCCACCCCCTGGAACTGCACAGCCAGCGTTAAAGGGGGCCACCATGCACATGGTTGCTACATCCCATGTCCTACTGGACTCACACCACCACAAGCCAAACCATCAGCACACACACCACGTAAGACGACGAACTGACACGAAGGGAGACGATACCTCACTAAAGACCCTCAACAGCAGACTAGCCAGACATCTATCCACAAACGGCAAACCAGACAACTACCCCACTGACAAGGTTATATCTCAGACAACAAAACGAAATAGCATGAGTGCATCTATCAAACGATAATTCTAGCGGGAACGCAAATAATTTACCACACACTACCCCAATCGACATAACGGGAGAGATACACCCCGAAAGGCACAGGCCACCACCCGACACACAATCCGTGTAGAATACCCACTGGGAGACCACTGCCGATGCCTAGCCGGGGAACTGACCGGCGGTACGGCACTGATTATCTACCCAGAAACACACGGAGCTATCCTATACCGGGGTACCACAAAACCCCTAACACCCCCGAACGACCTCATGAAACCAACGCCTTAGAACCATCGGCAGATCGGGGACACACACAGCTTCCAACACAACCTACCACCCACACCTAGTCACACCACTTACACACACCTACACACTACTCCTAAACCCACTGCTTCCTCCCCTCCCTCCCACCCATCGGCCCGCAAAACAGGGACGGCGATATTACCGGCATCTCACTTACAATTCACCCTTATGGACAAGATGGAAGACACGGGGAGTAGATTTCTCTTCATTAAAGGAGAGAGAGCACGGAAAATATACACGTTCGCTACGGTCTATGCTCCAAACAGTGGACAAGCCAGCTTCCTTAGAAGAACAATGGCGAAGCTATCTCAATTCATGGAAGGAACCCTCCTATTTGGAGGGGACCTCAATGTACCCCTGGACCCTCGAACAGATACCACCACGGGAAGAAGCAGCATCCCAGACTCAGCGATTAAAACCATATGTAAAGCTCTTAGAGACATAAGGCTGGTAGACACCTGTAGAGCACTGCAGCCAGAGGGAAGGGACTACACCTATTACTCCACGCTACATCATAGGTACACCAGAATTGACTATATATTCGTGCAACAAGAGGGGCTCACATATCTCCAGAGGGCTGACATCCTCACCACAACGTGGTCGGACCACAGCACGGTGCAAGTGTCTATGACATCACCATTGTTCAGACCAAAAGAACCTCATGGAGGCTGAATGACTCCTTACTGATAGATGCGGCAATACAGGCACAGGTGGCGGAACACCTTAATCAGTACTTTGCGGAGAATGTCACAGAAGGAGTATCAGACATGACGGTATGGGAAGCTCATGAAAGCATCGTCAGAGGTCACCTCATCCGAATAGCCACCCAAAGGAAGAAAGAAACTAGCCACCAGATCATAGACCTCACACAGAAGATCAGCGACCTGGAATTAACTCACAAACGCAATCAACAGGAGCAAACCTACAGAGACCTAATGTCCACCAGAAGATAATTGGCAGAGCTCCTTGAACGCAAACACGCCAGAACTATACAGCGATTGCGTGCATTCTTCTACAGGCACGCCAATAAAGGAGGCAAACTCCTTGCACGGATGCTGAGAGGCACACAAAAAAGGGCGCAAGTCCACACCATCCAAACAGCGCAGGGTAAAACAACGCTGTTCTCAAAGGAAATCGCAGACGAATTTGAGAAGTTCTACACGAAACTATACAACACCCGAAGGAAACGACGGACAATCCCCAACCACGAGGCAGGCGGACATGATAGAATACCTGACCAACTTACAACAAAACACCCTCACACCGGTTGAAGCAGAGGAATTAGATTCGCCTATCACTGAGGGGGAAATATGACAGGCACTAAAAACAGCAAAAACGGGCAAAGCCCCGGGACCAGACGACTTCCCGGTGGAATACCTCAAGAAATTCGGACACATACTATTATTGTATCTGACCAGGGCGCTCAACAGCATAAGAGACGGAGGCACTGGCGGCTACCATCACAGTGATCCCCAAACCAGGAAAAAACACCGAACAAGTCGGTAATTACAGCCCAATATCGCTCCTTAACACAGACATCAAACTCTTCTCCAAAATCCTGGCGATGAGACTACAAACCCATATGGCACGATTAGTACACCCAGACCAGACAGGCTTCATACCAGGACGTGAAGCAAGAGACTGCACCCTACGACTGTTTGCCATACAACATCTGGCCAAACAAACGGAGGCGAGACTGCTGTTACTCTCCACAGATGCAGAGAAAGCTTTTGATAGGGTGGACTGGAGCTTCATGACGGAAACGCTACGATCGACTGGTATGGGCATGGGTATGCTTACATGGATCACCGCACATTACAGTCCACCGACCGCCAGAGTCAGGGTGAATGGTGCACTTACAGACGGTTTCGACATCAAAAACTGCACGAGACAGGGGTGCCCACTGTCGCCCCTGGTATTCGCCCTCACCCTAGAACCTTTATTAGAAAGCATCAGGAGAAACGAGAAGATAACGGGACTGAGACATAGAGAACAGGAACACAAAGTCGCCGCATACGCTGATATGTTTTTTTTCTCGAAAATCCACTAGACTCAAATACACCACTAATGGAAGAATTCGAAAACTATGGCCGGATTGAAACTGAACGTGCCCAAATGTGAAAATCTCAACATCACGGCCCCGGATAACGAATGTGATCAACTAAAGCGGAAGTTCCCATTCCACTGGTGCACAGACAGAATGAGATACCTCGGACTCTGGATAACACATACAACAAAGGACATCTATACCCACAACCACACTCCACTCCTGACACGCATCATAGAAGACCTCAAAAGATGGAATTACCCCCACATAACCTGGATCGGGAGAATAGCAGTCTTAAAGATGAACATCTTACCACAGATATTATACCTCCTACACACCGCACCACAGACAATCCCCCACACATTCTTTATAGCACTCAAAACAGCATTCGTACAATATGTCTGGAAGGGAGAAAGGGCACAGATCAGCTATGACAAACTCTGCCTCCCAAGGAGTTGGGGTGGGCTGGCTCTACCTGACATCAAAAGATATCATCAGGCAACGGTATTACAGAGACTCAAAGAACTACACACGGACACGCCACATAAACTATGTGTCCAGCTTTGGAGGGACACTGTAGACAAAAAACTCCATACACTGGTGTGGTACAATGAAAGGGATGCCCGGACGCTGCTAGGGGAAGCCTCTCCCCTCACGCACACCCTGACGCACTGGTCCACAATAAGAAAGGAGTAGCAGATCTCGCCCAAACCCTGTCCCCTGATACCCATCACAGACAACCCAAACCTGGGAGACAGCCTTCCACCGAATGCCTGGCCAAAACACGACCGAGATGGATACATACCAATACACACAGTCCTGAACAATATGGGAGTCCAATCATTAAGGGTAATTTCAGGTGAAGAAACGCCCACGCTAATGCATCAATTCCACTACATCCAGCTTAAGCACTACTATCACAACCTACCACACAGAGGCAAGATACACAGAGAACTAACATGGTACGAAAACCTATGCACACAGACACCAGAGGTGGAGGGTAGGGTTTCCGCATTATATCAAAACCTACTGACGTCAAACCGTACTAACAACAACTTATACAAAAGACAATGGGAGGACTGGACAGAGGAGACCTTCATGGACAACCAGTGGGGAAAGATACTAACCCTACGACACAAAAGCACCTCCAGCTCCCACTACCAGGAAGTAAATTATAAGCTATTGACACACTGGTGTCGTACACCGTCACTGATCAACCGATACAAGCCGACAATTCCGAACACCTGCTGGAGATGCGGGGAGGAACCCGGCACCTTAAGGCACATCTGGTGGGACTGCAATAAAATAAAACCTTTTTGGGAGAGCATTCACCAGGAAATCAAGCAGATACTAGACGAACCCACACATTTGACGATGGCGGACGCTCTTCTATATCATACAGAACGACCAATACCCTCCTACAGGAGGTCAATACTGAGGCACTTACTAAACGCGGCCAAGTCCCTGGTCCCACTACACTGGAAAAAGGAAAACCCACCCACAATAGAAGAATGGACATGCAGGGTAGAAGACATAAGGATAGCAGAGGCGAAAATAGCAGATTCCCAAGGGAGAAGCGACAAACGTGGAAAGGTGGACACCCTGGATACTCCACTTAGGTGATCCCCATGCATAAGTCTGTGTATGATACAACAACCGTTCAATAAAAAATCATATTTACAAAAAAAAATTTTTTAAAAATTGGGTTTGTGAGGGTATATGCTACACAATTATCAATTTAAGTCTCTTTAAGATGTAAAATGCTTGGATTTCCCAGCTACATTACATAGATACTGTGTATTATAACATTAAGTGTGTGTTTTTTTTTTTGTTTTTTTTTCATATCTATCCTTTCTGTTTCATCAATGCAAGGCATTACAGGAAGCATATCGTGTGCTTAAACCTGGAGGAAGGTTTCTGTGCCTCGAATTTAGTCAAGTGAACAATCCTCTGCTGGCCAGGTAAGTCATTTATTAAATCGTGGACACCGCAGCTACTGAAGGAAATTGTGCATCAGCTACAGGGGTAAAGCCATTACTGCTACAGTAATAGCTACTTTCCATTCTTCCTATACATGACCTCAAGTATACTTGTGAATGGGATATCACTATGCATTATGTCCTGCAAGTCCCATATATTTTTTTGAAAGTTTTATTTAAAAGTAAACACTGGAATTATGGGAATTGTAATTAAGCAGCTGAAGGGATACTCCTGAACACCAAACACTCTCACCAAAGCAACTTAATCTTTTTATTTGAGATAAATGGAGCCCTTGCACCATGGTGACAGTTTGACTCCAATGCAAAGCGTCTATCATTAACTGTATAAATTTCCACTGGAGTGCCTTGTTTATGGATTAAAATTATCTCTTTTTCACACATTATTTAAATGGTGCAAAGTTTTCAAAAAGTACCCAGTGAGACCAACCTAAAGGCTGCTCTGGGATATAATCCACATATGTGCCTTTTCCCTTTTCATAATTGACCATTGACTATTTGACATTTTTCTCGCCTAGAACCCTTTTTTTTCGCACTATGATTAATTTATCCCTCTAACACTAGAAATGCAAAGTATTTTGAGTATTAGAACGCTTTCTTACCTATCCCCAATAAAACATGAAGAAGATTTACACACCTGTAGTTTATTACTGCAACAGTCTCTCCAAGGCTGCTCTGGTGGCCTTGGTGAGATTATCCATGATGTAACCTCAGCCATTCCAATAGTGCCACATCAGGAAATATTCGGGTGTTCGTATGTATGCAGGAAATTAAACATTTAGGACAAATTAGAAAAATTCAAAAAGTTAATTCTGCTTTGTGTGTGTCTATTTTGGCTTTGAATTTTAAATTCACCTTGAATTCCCAGAAATTCTCACCTTTGTGAATAACCCTGAATGATTTTCCAATGAGAGAGAGAAGTTTATACAGCAATACTGGAAGACAGCCTACATGGCTTACATACACCATTCTGTATCTTGAGCGCTGCAATTCAAAATACTGTGGTAGTGACCCATGACATGATTCTAGTCAAGCTTACAGCTTAGTGAAAATTATAGAATGTTAGTGCAGCAACGTATCGAGGATACGCAGCGCTAGATCAGAGTATTCAGTAATTGGTGTGTGTGGGTTTTTTTTGTTTTTTTTTAATTGTGGCAGTTGTAGAGTAGTCTGATAATGCATCAGTTTTGCATCAGAACTTGTGTCATGTTTACAAAAAAGGAAGAAACTTCTAGAGTTTTCATTCTTCATGGGAGTTACTCTCGTATCTTTATTTTAAAAAAAATATTTTAAAAAAAATACAAAAGAAGAATTTGAGTATTATTTAAGTACATCAACCACACATGTTAACCTAGAGAGTAGACCATTGTATTATAGCATTTCAGTGTATATAGCATTTCATTGTAGTATAGCATTTCCATATCTTCCATTGTTCATCTGTGTGTCACATGACATCTCGATGCATTAAAATATATCTTCCAATAACAGGAATTCTGAGTATGTCTGATATTACATTGTGTGTCTGGACCTGTTCTTAATCCTCTTTAGGGCTTATGACCTGTACAGTTTCCAAGTGATTCCAGTGCTTGGGGAAATCATTGCTGGTGATTGGAAGTCCTATCAATACCTAGTCGAAAGCATTCGACGCTTCCCTCCTCAGGTAAAACATTTTTGTAATACCAGTCAACAATTTGGTTTACTTTAAAACAGAAATTTCATATAATGCTGAATAGCTAGCTTGTACATAGCTAAAAACCGGCAATTATATATTTGATATTAAACCGTTTTTTGTTTTTTTTTCTCCTGTAGGAGGAGTTTAAGGCCATGATTGAAGATGCTGGGTTTTTCAAGGTGAAATACCATAACTTGACATCTGGAATTGTTGCAGTTCACTCCGGGTTTAAGTTATGAGTAGCATATTTTCTACACTGAAGAGAATGTCACGCTTGTAAACTGAAAACCTATAGTTTCCGTTTTGGAAGATAATTTATTTGTACTAAAATGAAAATAATTTTATATTTTTTTTTTTCTCTTTATATTGTGAACCAGTATTTTGAAATTATTCCGATTAAGCAATTGAGTCACACCTACAAGCGTTTGCATATACACATAATTGTAGTAGGTGAAAAAAAAATTTCGGACAGGATTATCCCCTTATTTAAATATAGAAAATAATCCAGGCACTCCAAGGTATTCAAAAAGATAGGCAATTTTATTGGACCGAAGCACCAAAAAACAACGTTTCGATCCCTTAGGGCCTTTGTCAAGGATTAACCCCTTAGGCACCAAACACATGCCAGGGATTTGGCTAAGCCATGGTCCTTGTTCCTTCAGGGGTTAAATCGAATGTATGCCCCCTGGATATTACTTTAGCCGCTGTCTAGATTATTCATCAGAGTACAAACTGTTGGAAATTAAATGTGAATTTACATGTTTAACCCAAAATAGCTGAAAAGAAAATGTTTCCCTGGCTATTTATAGTTTAGCTATTTTTTAGTTTGGGTGTTTCCTAAAATCTTAAATTCACACTTAATTTCCCACAGGACAGTTTAATGTTTATGTCTGGGGTTTTTTTTTTTTCTCACAATTGATTTAATGTGGGACTTCCATAAACAAATACACCTTCTGTATATGGTTCAGTTGTATCAGATGGAATTTAAAATAGCAAAATGTATTAAAAATAGCCACACTGTGACTGGAGTTGGATAATTTTTCCAGATCAGCTATTTGCCCCTAAACTTTTCCTTTCTGTCAACTATATAGGCTCCCAAACCACTTCCTTGAGATGAAGTGGCCTGGGTGCCATGTGCCTCCTGTTTAACCCCCGCAGCTGAAAACATTGCCATTTTGCAGGAGTTATAAGGAGGCACCACTGCAAAATAGTGGAATAAAACTCCTCTATTTCTAATTAACTGATTGAATTGGCTCTCAGCCAAAGAGGTGGAGCTACACACCAGAGCAGTTTTAATTTTGTTGACTAACAATTTTAGTCCAATTTCGTCTACTAAAAATGTGATATTTAGGTGACTAAAACTAGACTAAAACAATTCAGATGACTAAAATACAACTAAAACTAAAATGGCTTTTAGCCAAAAGACTATGACTAAAGCTTAATTGAAATTTGCCAAAATTAACATTTGTGGGTAAAACACATGGAGGAGAGGAAATTAGACACATTGGGGGCTGAAGGAATGAGACACATGGGGAGGCTGGGAGAAGGAGACACATGGAGGGTGGGGAATGAGCACATGGAGTGGCTTGGGGGGTGGCACAAAGCGACATAGAGGGGCTGGTGGAGAAAGAGACACACAGAGGGGCTGAGAAAGGGGCAAAAGACAGACAGGGGCTTGGGGCAGACACCAGTGGACACAGAGGGACTGTGGAAGGAACAAAAGACTGGAAGGAACAGACACTTTAGAGGGGCTGCAAAAGAGCCATATAGGGGCTTCAACTAAACACATTAGATTTTAGTCGTGTCGATTGAAGACTAAACTAAATTTAAATTAACACTGCACCTTTCTAAAGGCAAGAGTCTTTGGTACTTAGTAGAGCATACTTTTGCTGTTATTTCCTGCTTCTAATAAAATGCATAGCCAGGCACAAGCTTCTGGCAGTGTAACTGAGGAATATTAGCCCATTGCTCATGAGCAATGGCCTCCAATGCAGTAATATTCTTGGGTTTGTGTGCTGTAACCGCTTTCTTCAAATATCACCAGAGATCTTCATATCCGTTGACTGTGATGCCCACTGTAGGACTTCTTCTGCAACCAAGCCTTGGTAGAATTTGAGGTATGCTTGGGATTATTGCCTTGTTGGAAGGTCCAATGACACCCAAGCTTCAGCTACCTCACAGACAGCATGACATTTTCTCCTAGGATTTCCTGATACTTTAGTGAATCCATCTTGCCTTCCACACAATGCAGGTTTCAGTGCCAGAGGATGCCAAGCAGCACCAGATCATCACTGAGCCACCACCATGCTTAACTGAAGGCAGTGTTCTTTTCAGTGTATGCGTTACTCTTTTTTTATTTTTTCCAGACATGCCACTGATTCATTGGGCCAAAAAGCTCCAGTTTTGTTTTATCGCTCCACAGAACAGGAATCCCCAAATCTCTGTGGTATATTTATGATTTTGAGCATATTGGAGCCGACTATTCTTGTGCTTTTGTGTCAGTAATGATGTACGTCATGGAGTTTTGGCATGGAAATCTTCTGTGTTTACTACGCGCCTTACTGTGCTCTCTGAAACCTGAGTGTCTGTTGCTGCTAAGTCTTACTGCAGGTCTTTTGCAGTCACTCAAGGTTTTTTTTCACAAACTGCCTTCTCAGAATTCTGGTTGCAGGCATTGATGGTTTTCTTTTTCTGCACTCTCCACATAATGTAACCACTGTTCCTTCAACTTTGAACTTGCAAACTATGCTTCCAACTGTGTCTCTAGGAACATTTAGTGCCTTCGCTATCTTTTTGTATCCTGTTCCTTGTTTGTAAAGGGCGACCTCTTCCCTTAACCTTGTGGACCATTCTTTTGACTTGGCCCTATTTCTAACATGCAGTCAAACGTGACAATCAACAACCCCTTAGCCAGTTGAGATCATCCGTGATGATAACCTCAGCCATTCCAGTAGTTCCACATCTGTGTGTCTATTTTGGGGTTCCAGCTCAAGCACACTTGGTACAACTTATTAAGCCCTTGATTAGTTGCATCAGGTGTGGTTGAGACAACACCTGATTTGCATATCCATGCCATTGTGAGGGGTTCTATTCCAACTGGTTTTAAACCATTTTTTTAAAACCTGATTTTCAATGGGGGTTGAATAATTTAGATTTTTTAAAACTAAATGTCTTTGAGATACTACTTTGGCCACAAGTCAGTTTGTAAAATTTCTGTCTAATTAGATATTCTCCGTTAAACTGTTATCATTATGAAATGGAGGATTCTAGAAGCAACAGCAGCCCAACAAGTTCCAAGCCATGTATACCCACACTGGGGGTATTGAGTGTTAAGTAGCATTTAATTTTTTTTAAATCACTTAACTGTTGCATCACTCATTGAAAGCAACATCAGCACAAGAACTGAGCAGCCAGAGCTTCATGAAATGGATTTCCAAGGCCAAGCTGCTGTATACAACCCTTGCTAAAAAAAAACAGGTGCACCATGATGGGGGAGAGAGAATAAAAAACATCTTCTTTAATTTTCAAACTGACCTTTCAGCAGTGTGTTTACTTATTTGTCCCCCTGCTCTGTTAATTTAACTTTGATTTCTCACACACACACTTCTTGCTCAAGCAGGCAACAGAGCAGTTAATAAGAAATTCTCAATTAAGATTCACTGCAATAAAAAAAAAAAAAAAAGTTGCTTGTTTGGGTCAGAGACAAATCTTGCCCGTGCTTCACACATCATCTATACATACTTCCTTAAAAGGGCCTAAGTCATATATTTTTCCATATCGCAGGGTGTGCTTGAAGGGACACTCCACACACCTAATAACCCACCACACAGAGCTTAAACTGAATCTATTTAATGAATATAGCAAAGGATAATCACGTAGGTATTTCCACAACAAACCGTGCACAAAGATTCTGCGCTATGGTCTGGCCAATCACAAAGAAAGTGATTTGTTTTAAAGACACGCGCAATATCCACCAAAGTAGTACAGGAACAGATGAACACAGGTAACGCTCCAGGATATAGATGGTAAGCTTATTCAAGGGTGAGCCACCCCATAAAAGGTGCAATATTTTGGCTCAAATGAGCCGTAATCATGCATCAGTTAATCAGTTGCTTATTATCAGTCCTTAGGGTGGCCAGGCTTAACAGTGCCTATAGTAAGGTAAAATAGCAAGGTCAATATGCCAAACCAGGTGATGGAGTACAAAGGATAGGGTAGTCAAACAAGGCAGAGTCAGGAACCAGGATATCAAACCATACAGTATGAGTAGAAAAGGCACCAATATAGATAGGGCTGTTTGCATTAGAATTTTATACAGAGATGTTAGTTTCTAAAATGACAGCAATATATATGCACTGCTCAAAAAAATAAAGGGAACACTTAAACAACACAATGTAACTCCAAGTCAATCACACTTCTGTTAAATCAAACTGTCCACTTAGGAAGCAACACTGAGTGACAATCAATTTCACATGCTTTTGTGCAAATGGGATAGACAACAGGTGGAAATTATAGGCAATTAGCAAGACACTCCCAATAAAGGAGTGGTTCTGCAGGTGGTGACCACAGACCACTTCTCAGTTCCTATGCTTCCTGGCTGATGTTTTGGTCACTTTAGAATGCTGGCGGTGCTTTCACTCTAGTGGTAGCATGAGACGGAGTCTACAACCCACACAAGTGGCTCAGGTAGTGCAGCTCATCCAGGATGGCATATCAATGCGAGCTGTGGCAAGACGGTTTGCTGTGTCTGTCAGCGTAGTGTCCAGAGCATGGAGGCGCTACCAGGAGTCAGGCCAGTACATCAGGAAACATGGAGGAGGCTGTAGGAGGGCAACAACCCAGCAGCTGGACCGCTACCTCCGCCTTTGTGCAAGGAGCAGCACTGCCAGAGCCCTACAAAATGACCTCCAGCAGGCCACAAATGTGCATGTGTCTGCTCAAACAGTCAGAAACAGACTCCATGAGGGTGGTCTAAGGGCTCGATGTCCACAGGTGGGGGTTGTGCTTACAGCCCAACACTGTGCAGGACGTTTGGCATTTGCCAGAGAACACCAAGATTGGCAAATTTGCCACTGGCGCCCTGTGCTCTTCACAGATGAAAGCAGGTTCACACTGAGCACATGTGACAGATGTGATAGAGTCTGGAGACGCCGTGGAGAACATTCTGCTGCCTGCAACATCCTCCAGCATGACCGGTTCGGCAGTGGGTCAATGATTGTGTGGGGTGGCATTTCTTTGGGGGGGCCGCTCCATGTGCTCGCCAGAGGTAGCCTGACTGCCATTAGGTACCGAGATGAGATCCTCAGACCCCTTGTGAGACCGTATGCTGGTGCGGTTGGCCCTGGGTTCCTCCTAATGCAAGACAATGCTAGACCTCATGTGGCTGGAGTGTGTCAGTTCCTGCAAGACGAAGGCATTGATGCTATGGACTGGCCTGCCCGTTTTCCAGACCTGAATCCAATTGAGCACATCTGGGACATCATGTCTCGCTCCATCCACCACAGACTGTCCAGGAGTTGGCAGATGCTTTAGTCCAGGTCTGGGAGGAGATACCTAAGGAGACCATACGCCACCTCATCAGGAGCATGAACAGGCGTTGTAGGTAGGTTATACAGGCACGTGGAGGCCACACACACTACTGAGCCTCATTTTGACTTGTTTTCGTTTTTTTTATTTTTTTATTATTCTTTATTTTTCTGTGCAAGTGATTGACAAACATGTGTAAAGTGCCACAACAGCACACATAGGCTTTTCATCAACGACAATATCATGGCACATGTAAATTGCACATTTTTTTTATATAATAAACATGGTGGGCTCGAGATACGTCATGAGATACGAAAACATAAATGGTAAATATATTATGCTTAGCTGACTGACAGTATATTGAGTAGTTATAAGAAGTATCAGGATATACAAGCTTAAACCAGCAATTTATATGAAATGAGTATTTGTAAGATTGGAGACGACTTCTTGTGATTAAGAAAACATGCTTAGTTACTATAAGGTATATCAGGAGAACAGAGAGTGACTGAGAAAAATTGCAAGATAAGGCTGTAGTTAGGATCAAGAGTTAGCGGTACCCTCTCAGATCGGCAATTATAGTCCGATCAGCCCACACCTGTAAGGGCTAAGCTGGGTCTTAACAGGAGCTTCAGGGGATTTGTGCTTCTCTCAATGCTGCAACATGCGGCTCTGCTGTGGCCCCAGGTGTCCTCCGGGGTCTGTGCCCAGTGTGCATCGTCTCCCCTCGCTTCAGCTAGGATAAGGTTCCCGGACTTTGGACCACCATGTTCCACCCCAGTGCGTGAGCTTCGTGAGGCTTTAGTAACCGGCTTGGTTTCCTGCCAGTGCAGACTCTGAACGCTCTCTGGGATCTGAAGCCGTGTTGAGGCATGGGTAGTATAGGTTGCTTCCTCCGGTCTTCCCAGCCCTTCCAAAAACACTGGCACATGGCATTGAATGATGCATGTAATTCTTCTTCCCATTGCCGGGTGTAGGTTGCTTTCGCCCAAGAAACTCTGCAGCAATGTAGGTGAGTACTCTCTTGATGGAGTGGGTGGGATAACCCCCACTGGCCCGGGAGGAGGGGTGCAAGGACTCTGAGGATCTATAGAGATTTAAGCCAAGGCAGCTTCGGACTGAGAGAACGGCCGCTTCTCCCGCCCAGAAATAGCCAGGCCACAACAAGCTGAAAGCTGCAACCGCCTGTCACAAGAACAACGGGGTCTGTAGCTTGCTTTACAGGTGCCCAAGTGGTGCCAGACGTGGGTACCAAGAAGGAAAGGGTAGTTTATAGGGTCTTTTCACCCCCAAAATCATGCTTATTTAGAAATTAGTCCAGAGCACAAGCTACCCACGACCCTCCAGTATGGCGTCCAAGCCCCGCCCCATTTTGACTTGTTTTAAGGACATTACATCAAACTTGGATCAGCCTGTAGTGTGTTTTTCCACTTTAATTTTGAGTGTGACTCCAAATCCAGACCTCCATGGGTTGAAAAATTTGATTTACATTTTTTAATTTTTGTGTGATTTTGTTGTCAGCACATTCAACTATGTAGAGAACAAAGTATTTCAGAAGAATATTTAATTCATTCAAATGTAAAGAACAAAGTATTTCAGAAGAATATTTAATTCATTTAGATCTAGGATGTGTTATTTTTGTGTTCCCTTTATTTTTATGAGCAGTGTATTTGTGGTTGGACAGATATTAGTAATATACATAAATCAGGTTAATACTGTACAAAGTTGGTTGAGATGTGCCGTAACCAACGTAAGGGTTGGCCTGTAATAAAAGAGGGCCCACCAAGAGTAAAGGTGTTAATAAAGGTATTAATAAAATAAAACATATGGGGTGAGGTGGGTGGGATGACCTTAAAAAGAACAGCCCATGTAAGAGGGTAGTGGGAGTTTTTATAGCATAAGATAGACTTAAACTCCTCCCACAAATACAGGCCTACGGCCTTAAAAACTGTGGTCGGAAACATATTAGTAATATACGTAAAGCGTGTTAATACAAAGTTGGTTGAGGTGTGCCGTAACCAACATACGGGTAGGCCTGTAATAAAAGAGGGCAAAAAGATATCAAAGAAGAACACACTTCAGTGTATCACATTTACAATGACAAACTTTTAAAAGCTTTCCTCATTTCTTTTTCGGATGAGGTATGTAACAACTGTAAACTGAGGATTTCCATCTCCCCAATTTTTCTGGTGATATGCACTGAAGTGTCAGTGCTGGAAGCGGCCGAAGCTGCCCCTATTCTAAATGAATGACCCGAACAAAGGAGTACTAAATAGTGTTAAAACTACCATCTAACCCCCCAGGCCTCCCTAAATATAGTAAAATTTTACTTGTATTCAAGTCTGGAGCTGCTTATTTTTCCCCTGTTTCCTTTGGACCTGCCCACTGCCTGCTGACATCATCAGAAGTGGTAGCCTGATCCAATCACAATGCTTTCCCATAGGATTGGCTGAGACTGCCAAGGAGGCAGATCAGGAGCAGAGGCAGCGCAATTCAAACACAACCGTGGCCAATCAGAATCTCCTCATAGAGATGAACTGAATCAATGAATCTCTACGAGGAAAGTTCAGTGTCTGCATGCAGAGGGAGGAGATACTGAATGTTTTGATGCATTTTAGGCAGCAATGACCCAGGAAGGATCTCTAACAGACATCTTAGGAGTGGCCAGTGAAGTTATCACTAGGCTGTAATATAAACACTGCATTTTCTCTGAAACAAGCAGTGTTTACAGCAAAAAGCCTGAAGGTAATTATTCTACTCACCAGAACAAATTCAATAAGCTGTAGTTGTTCTGGTGACTATTGTGTCCCTTTAAGAGAAATGTTCTGATGTAGAATATGAACTTAGCAGTAGTCAGAGGGAGTCCTTGCAGGGAGAGAAGTGGAAAATTGTGTGTGACATGATTGAGTGTGGGTAAGTAGGAATCGATTATTTTAACTGGATACCACTTGTTTGCGGTGGGATAAAGTGGTAAAGCAGATGGATGAGTCATTTGGTTTGTTTTTGAGGTTTGTAGAGAGTATATTGTGATCCTGATGTTTAGTGATATCAGATATTTTTAAGATAGAGATGATGTCTGTCTGTCTGTCTAGCTACTGTAAACTCTCGGGGTCTCAAAAAACGTAGAAAGCTATATAAATAGCGGTTTTAATTACTTGATTTGTGGGACTGTCAAATGGTCGTGTGTCCACTAAATCAGAGAGGGCTTGGAATATCGCACCATAGATTGGTAACCTGGATGAAGTAGGGGTCTGTTTTATTGATACCCCGCAATATACTTTTAATAGGATAGGACTTGAGGAAAGGTGTATGATTGGGATACGTGGTGAGTACGTGATGTTGAATCCCTGTGAGAGAAAGTTTAACCCCTTAAGGACCAAACTTCTGGAATGAAAGGGAATCATGACATGTCACGTGTCCTTAAGGGGTTAATCGTGTTGTGTGCTAATTTAAGGTGAAGGTGGCAAAAAGACGAAAAAGCAACCATGGATTCTATGGAGAAATGCTCCTGGACGTGAAATTCCATGACAAAACAGCCTAATATATCGTCCGTGGGTGTTCTTTTTACATAACGTGCAGCACTCAACTGCTCCACTAAATGCTAGGACTCCTCTTGGGTAGCGTATGTAGGATATACTGAGCTGATATCTGGTTACTATATGATATTCTATCCATCCAGTCTTCTGTCAATACTCTTATTAGTAATTACTCTATCGAGGACAATGAATAGCCATAACTTGGGAGACCTCAAGGAAGAGCCAACATCAGCTTCTTTCTTGGCAACTCCTTAGAACTCAGACTCACTCCGACTGTTTATTGTATTCAGTTCCAGCTTACAAAGATCACAGCATACAGTAAAATAAATATTACACAAAACTTTCACCAATAGGAATACAGAACAGGGGACAGGAGAAGAACTACAAAGCAAAAAATTGATTCCTTACACTAGTTACCACCTCCCCCTGTGCCAATACACCATAAAAACAACAAAAGGTTATCTTGACTGGACCCACTGTCCCTTCAGAGCAAGCACAGCCGGTGGTCACTCACAGTGCAGCATTTAACTTGATTAACCCACAGAATACATTTCATACCTAACTATACTTTATAGAGCTGCTGCTGTCTGTTGACCCGCAGCTGCATATACAGACACACACTGAACTCTGTAAAATACAAGTACACAATACACAGATGTCTGTAACACAGAGATAGCTAAGTACATGGAAAACAGTCACAAATATGGTGCAGCGAGTTTGTGCCAAACATATCAGGCCATCCATCATACCTATCATAAGCTGTTTTTGGGCTAGCAGAGAGTGCAGAACGTGATAGTGACAGGCTGTAAGACAGAAGCCTGTCTAGTCCATCACAAGCTTGTGGAATAGCAGATTTCTTGACAGGAGCCTGTCTGCTGTGGGGTGAAGCCGAAAAACACCTGAAATTGAGAGTGTGAAAGTGCGTCACAGAACAAATAAAATTGGTACGAGGTGGCAAGCCAGTCAATCTTCGGACCAACCTCATGATGGTTAATGACAATAAGTGCCCCTTGTTGATGATTTTGCATGCTGCCATGTTGTCACAGAGACATCGGATAGCCTTCCCTGTCCAAAGATGACCCCAAGTGTGTGCAGCTGCCACAATGGGGTAAACCTCGAACAGAGTGGAGGTCTCCCTGAAGGTTGTCAAGGACTCTCTGTAGGCCATGAGTCTCTGAACCAAAGATTTAGAAAAATAGCAGCAAACCCCGAACGGGCTGTGTAACGGATCACCTGGCACCCCGACTGGGTACCTCCGTTGATGGATGCGGTACTTTCCGAGGGCTCCAAGCACTCCACTAGACACCATAACCACCGCAGACCCCATGAACCGCCTGCTGCTTGGTTGTGGTCTTACCGTCTTCCACCTAGTCTGGACCCAACACCAGCATCCAGCTTCCAGTAGGTAAACCTCTCTTAATTCAAAGAGGAGGAACAGGAACAAACTCTTACAAGGGCTTAGTGATTATACTCTGGGGATTGCTATAATCACTATACTCCCCAGAGTGTAGGTAGTTCTCCAATCCCCCAAACATGAGCCGAAACTTCATGAAGGGTAGAACAAGTCTGAGGCTTTATTGTTACAGGTTTGCTTATATACAATTCCTCAGGCCAGAGGCACACCCCCTGGACCTGATGGAACACAGGCACACAAACCAATCAGAACAATACAACAATGTCCGACACTCCCACTTACAGCACACAATCCCTCCCCTCTGCCTGTGATACAATTAACAAAGACAATGGGCTTACTCAATTAACTCTAAACAGAAAAAGCATTCATTTTTACAAACCCCAAAATACAACATATCCCCACAACATCCCCGATCTGGGTGAACAACATATCCAAAAATCACCCAGATCGGTTCAGGGATTCAGGAATTTCCTGGAAGTCTTATTTTTGCCCCACAGTTCACATGGTCCCATGCCCAAAGCATTTCCATACACTCAACAACAAAACACAGCTGGAAAATTTAAGATGGCCACCGCCACGTTTGAATCTGTTCCAATTAAAAGTCCAAGGAGCAGAAACAGTACTTTTGAACATGGGTTATCACAGGGCCCATAGTCCCAGGGTAGGAGGCTGGCAAACAGGCCCCTCCAAAAACCAGTGGCGAAGTGGATTTCATCACAGGCTGCTGCATCAGTCATGATAATTGGGGATGATAAAGAGGTGGAATAAACAGAGAAATACCATTCCAAGAAACGTTGCCACATTCGTAAATCAGCTATGGCACACACGATCAGACAAGCCAGGTAATAGATAAAGAAGCCTGGAAATAAACACCCTGCGGGATGATTCGCATGGCAAAATTAAGTGACCCCAGTAAGGACTGAAGCTCCCTACGAGTACACAAACCAGCCCGTAGGAAATGGTCCATCTCTTCCCTAATGAGTACCAGCTTCTCCTCTGGGAGGCTCGCCTGAAAAGCGACCGTGTCCAAGGTGATGTCGAGGAACACTAACCTAGTGGAAGGACCAAGAGTCTTATCAGGTGAAATAGGGATACCTAATGTGGTGAAAAAGGCAGTAGTGCTGAAATTAGTAAATCACTGTGGGACATTGACAAGCAGCCACCACTGTTTCTGAGAAGATATCGAACAGTTTCGGACTGCTCCTGGAACAAAAACGAAGTCTAGTCTACAAGTAATCATTATCCATCCACTTAACACCGTGAATATGCATTAGGAATGGGTAAATTGGTAGCAGCTTGAAAGTGTTAGAAATGTCAATTTTGCAAAGCCAAGCATGCTTACCAACGTGTAAAATGGCCTGTATGGTGTTGTCAACAGTGGCGTGCTGGAAGGAAAATTCTTCAGCAGGAATGAGAGAGTTAATGCTTGGTGTGTGTGAAGAATGAGAAGCCTTTTCTTATTTGAAAATTTACGTGTCACAACACTGATGGGATTTGTGTGACCGGTCTGAAAAGGTGACTATGAAGCCAAAACCTAGATGGAGTTCTTTGTGTAGTAGAGTATCTACAGTTAAGGGATTGGAATAGGCTGATAAATTGGGGCATTCCAGTGTGCCTGAGGGAAGTACCACAGGACCTGTATGAAAACCCAGAATTTCACCAAGTGGGGTGAGGAGTGGAAGTGTGATAGCCTAAGTTGTCCAGATCAAGCTCTGTAAGCCATTTCTTGGGAAAGAGCTTTGAGGAGCACATTGATTTTGCATGTGTCCTGAAACATATAGAGAAGATGTGCAACAATCTACAGGCACTGTAATTGCAGGTACCAGCAATTAAATTGTTGCACACCTGGGCTTCTCCAAGAAAACTATAGGTCTGCCCAGCTTGTCCTTCTGACCCATCGAGGAATCAAGAGTGGCCACAGTAGCAGTCCTTAGGGATATTGAAGCAGAGTCATATTTTGATATAGTTAGTGTATACTGGATCATGAGGTATAACCAGTTATTAGCATCTAATAACGTGCAGTGTGCAGAAAGTAAACTAAACTATTAAGTATGTTAGACCAGTAGAAAGTTTATTCAGAAGTTGTAAGCCTCTAGTAACTATGTAAAGAGAGAATTCTAGGAGTAAACAATGTTTAAAAATTAAAAGTATTAAAAACAGAAATATTTTCTTGGAATCAGTCACACCCAGGGGAGTGGATGGGGCTGCATAAACAAAGTAATTATGCCTAAATGGCAAAGAATTAAAGCTTTTGAGATTGCAGGGGCATGCTCTATATAGACTAAAAATAAATTAATGGTGCTAGGAATGGTATCCACACTTTAGAGTTTGAGGAATTCTTCTTTCAAGGTCCTTTTCTAACATTCCCAACAGAGTTAAATGGATGGAGCAGAACCAGCAACCTGTGCAGCCAACCATGGTCATTCACGTTCATACTCTGACCTCATGGATAGAGAAAAATATATAATATGGTAGTGCTTTACTGTAGACACATGATATACAGTAAGAAGTCAGTCTGAGCACCTTGCAGACTGCTTACTGTACACTATACCCACTCATTTGAAGGAGCCGAAAAAAAAAAAGCCACACCACACCCAGAGACAAATGAAAATGCTGTTATTAAAAAGAAACATTTAATAAAATGTTTAGAAAACAAAATAGAAAATAAATACAATTGTAAGTATTGTTTGAAAACAGCTTTATAACCATTATGAAAACAAGCCAGCACAATAAGGTTCCAGTCCCAGGAACACACAAAAAAAAAAAAAAAATTATAATAAAGAAACCCGGGAAAATTAGGGAGTTTGTTCCCTTAGCAAACTTTTAAGTCAGTCTTTTAATTCTTTTTGTACAGTTCTTGAATTTATATTCCTTTATTCTAGCCAGATTTGAAGAGAAGGATTGCTACCTGACCAAGGTAGAAATAGATGAAGTGTTTAGTTTCATGTGTGACATAGCTTCCGAAGTTTCTACCTACAATGCAGTGCCATGTAGGGTTGTATTTTCTGTCAAATTCCTGAAAAGAGAAATACTGTCAGTAATCTTTTGCAGATTATGCAGTTCTACAAGACTAAAACAAAAATAAACACATTTACACATGATTTCACTTTAGGTTGTCACAAAGTACCACTCTGTCTTTGTTCCCTGCACTCATACACACCATGTATAAACCTCCCTGCCATATATCAGCACAGTGAAGACACCAACAACCCCATTTGCTTATGTGATGTCAAGAACACTGCAGCCTCTTAAATGGCTTCTATCAATGTATATTAATTAGTTATACAATAGGAGGTAAACAACCCACACACACACGCCTTGAGATTTTGGTACAGCTTGGTCTCATTTTGAGCAAACATTAATTTCAGTAGTTGGAACATACAAACAGCTTAGCTTTTCTGTCACTATGGCAACTGCATTCAACGTACCACTGCCTCCTGCTTGTGTAACAACAGAGAGAGAAAAATAAAAGATAAAGAGAGGGATAGGCAAGATTGTGGAAACCTCTTTCACTATAGTTCATTCTTACAGAACCACAAGTCTATATGGCATTAAACATCACTTGTAAGTGACATGAATCAAGGAGGTTTTATCCACATTTGTGGCTCATCGAACAAATCTACTACCCCACCCCCCCCACAACACCCACACAATCTGTAAGGACGCAAAATCAAGAAAATTACCTTTTTGATATAAGCTGCAATGTCCTTCTCGATGTTGAATTTCTCTAGGGCTTGGGTGGCGCACTCAACAGCATCTTGCTGCATCTCCTCAGACATGTCAGCATTTTTTATGACTGCTTTCCTCTCAGACATGGTGACCTGCAGGTGACAGGAGGCTAGTATCAGAATAATTCACCACCCCATCAGCACTCTCAAAGACAGGCCTGCACACACTAACACCTAAGACATTAATGGCTAACCTATACCAATGAAGGGACATGCATTTCCCACAAGATGCTCAGCCACTTGTACTGAAGCCAGGTGGATCCACACTGCTGTGAGATGTGAGTCCTGGGGCTTTACGTTTATAGAAGCCAGAGAAAGAGTGATCTAGCTATCGAAGACTAAGATGAAAATCCCACTGCAATGAGCAATCTGTGTGTATTGTGCGAAACACTGCTCGGCAGAGAGCTTAACACAGGCTGAGCTCACAATATGAACGGTTAGAGTCTGATAACATCCCATATAGTAAATATCCCACCTCATATTTATATAACTTCCATCAGTAAACCTTAATAAGTACACTGACATGTCCCATCCATCCCTAATACTCACGGCTTTGTAGTTCTGGAGAGGCTGATCCTGCACTGACCACGTTCTCTCGCACACTGCCTTCTGGCGCGCAGGAAACCTCCTCTTACTTGACGCCCTTCTTCCCCCACTCTCCTCCTGAATGGCTGCTAGCTCTTCCACTCGCTTTACCATTGGCTGAATACTTTGGCTTCTCGAGGATCTTTTCTTTGCAATTTGTTTCAACCCACAATGCAGCGCGGTTTAGGCGTCCGTCTCCTTGGAAACGAACGCTTCGTATCCCTCTGGTGGCATCGCCAAAGTAACAGCAGCCTCCACCGTGGGAGGGCGCATGCGCAGTGTTGCTAGGCGCTCCGGGCAAATAGCTGGAAGTGGGACAGGGTTTTAATGTTTGCAATACGTGCATAGGGGAATGCGCAGATATATCTGAATATACCTTATTATAGAATAATCACTGACTTCCTGTACAAAAGCAGGATGTGTTAAACTCTATGTGAGATTTTCACTAATAGCAATACACATACAGCATCCTTGGCTGAGTTTATACACATTAGGACTGTGCTGCAATAGTGAAATATTAATATTGAGTATATTTTTAATATAGTGCCAACAGGCCACAGCATTTTAAAATATATACTGACCCACCAGATAAGGCCTATTGTGATCTACAATTACTAGGAAAGTTTTACACTATTCATTATAACCATATTCCTCCGCTAGATAATGTTATTTTAAACATAAATAGTAAACTTAGGTTAATGATATGATAAACAAATACATCAAATGAGCAGGAGAAATACAAATGTCGGGGGCCATGTATAAAACGTGCCACATATCTAGTTATCCATTTATGTTGCATTTTCATTTTGCACCTTTACTTTCCATTTGTTGTGCCAACATTTTTCCCTTTGTGTCATATTTTTCCAGGCACAATTTGTAGCACTCAAAGTAGGAGATGGCTGTCACTGTATGTGATTAAAATGTTGTAGTCAAATGACAATTTGTGGGGAAATGTTTGAGGATAGTACAGAGCAAATAAGACTGGGAGAGATGATACCTAATTTTATGAATGGGTATGCCTGTCTAGATGCTTCCCAATTGTGATATCAGATTATAGATCATGATCCCCCTTTGAGGAATTATGGTGATAGAACAAAACTACTTAAACATAGGGGAAAGTATTGGATTCAAACGCTTGGCGCTTTTCGACTAAGTGGTTTGAATTAAGAATATGTTTTCATTATACGATAACATTTTATTTTTTTATGGTTATCAGTCTGGGCATGTGCCTTTTGGTGATGCGTCTCTAAGAGTGTGAAATAACATTTGGTATGCTTTATGTTTATGATAAAATATTGGTACATAATCTCTTTAAAGGGGCACTATAACCATTTCATCATCATTGAATTGGAGTCCACATGCATTGTCTCTTCATTCAGTCTTATAGCTCACTGTCACCGTGAGTGGACTTTGCAGAATTTGCAAGGACCCCCGATGGTGACAATGCCGCTGATGGTTCAGGGGGGCAGGAAAAGGTGAGATTTACTTACCCGAACCTGTCCTTCACGGGTGATGACATCTTCTTACAGGCAGTCCTCTTCTGCTGAGGCGCCATGAACCGACTGCTGTACTCTCACACATGCTAGGTATATGGAGGATAAAGCCAATTCTTTGCAGCTGTCACTGGTGACGGTTTTGGAGGGATTGACACTTTTAGATGTCGGTTGCTCCGTCCAGTGTCTAGAAGTGTCAGGCGTAGGAAATGCCCTACTTTGTCTCAGTATATCCTTTGACTGGTTTTAGAATTTTAGTGAAACACAGTCAATATGAGTATTTCATAAAGATTCTATCTTTATAAAAATACTTATTTTTCAGGGATGTAACTGTGCCGCTTTAAATTATTTTCAAGCAGTTTATTACTGAATGAGGGTCCCTGGCTTACTTTAGATCCATTCCCACTGGAGGCATGCTTAATGGAGAGATTACACACTTCCTTGTAGCCATACCATTTCATACCTGCAGTAGGACCTGTGATACACTAAGAGGTAAGCTGACTCTCTTAGCCAATCACAGCTGCCCATTGCTGCTCATGCCAATGCTTCCTCATTAGCACAAGTAGTACAGAGGGGATGGGTTGATGGGGACTCTTGTTTAGCATTAAAACATTGAGATTGGTTTAATGATGAATAGAAGCACAGCACCACGGTACATAGACACTATAAACACTTAAAGTAGAGGAAGCCGTTAAAGTACCAACAGTGTCCTTTCAAGGGGCATTTTTGCAAGGAAGTATAGCTATAGGCCTTTGAGTTTGTTTGTTTGTTTGTATGTTTATGTTTAATTTGTGTAGTGTGGGTGTGTATATAGCTGTGTGTTGGCACTGTCCATGAATAAAAAGGAGACTCAATCCCACTTCCATTTTTTTACATAGCACTAAGTCTGGCAGAACAAAAAAAACATGTCAGTATATAGAGAGTGGCATTTCGGTTTTATACATTAGAAATGGTCGCAGTCAGAAAATTATGGCTCAAATTGTAAAAAAATAAATAAACAACAGTTTTTTAAATATTTTTGTGTGAAACCTCTATTGATTTGATTTATCCTGTTCTCTGCTTGCTCATATGCAAAATGCATAGCTTAAAGCTATGACTGACAGGGAGCTACTATGGTATGATGGAGGTGCCAAGATGCAATATAAAGATTTCCAAATTTAATTGTATTTTTCACACCTGCAACATGCTTCTTGTGAAATACAGGGGAAGTAAACATTATTGAACAAAAAAACTCTAAATGTATACACAAACAGAAAAGCCCCAAAAAGGTTTACCCTCAATATACCTACAAACTTAATGTAAACAAAAACCAAAAGGAAGCAAATAGTGCTGACTGTCTGCACTATTTGCTTCTTTTTTCTCTCCCTTATAGATACAGTGGGACCTCGGTTTACAAGCGCCTCAGTTAACATAATTTTGAGTTTACAAATGAAAATCCATTGAAAATAATGCCTCGGTTTACACATTTTTTTCGCAATACAAAGCAAGCTTCCCCAGGATGCATTGCACCTGGGAGGTTTATAGCACCATCCCTTGCATGCTGGAGCCTGTGGGATAGCACGTGGCGTCGAGTTTTGGAGCCATTCTGGAAATTGTTTGCAGTTTTTGGGACTTTTTGGTGCATTTCTCAAGCTGTGGAAAGGTAGGGAGCGGAGCTTTGTCGTTTGCATGCCTTTTATTGTGTGTTCTGCATTGTGGGTTGGTTTCCGAGCCAGCTCATTTTGACTTTTTTCTGACCTCCAGAACAGATTAATTGGTTTTCAATGCATTCCTATGGGAAACCGCATTTTGGTTTACAAATTTTTCGCAATAAGAAATGTCCCGGAGAACGCATTAAATTCATAAACCGAGGTCCCACTGTATATATATATATATATATATATGTATATATATATATAGCAAACCAGTAACCAACCTCATGCTGATGAGTTGTAATAACAACGAAACAGCCGTCCATGAGTGGTTCACTGGTTTTGCATCTTTTCCTAAATTGTGTTCCAAGCAGTTGTATACTGCAAACACAGATTAAAAGGAATCCATGTTTAAAATGGAATGAGGCAAAAATGCGATTCTTTGTTAAACTAATTTGCATATGCCCACCCAGAATCCTTAGCGGTTGTAACATCACTGCAGATTTGGAATTTCTGTGGGAAAAGCAAGTCTTATGGCTTGACTGGTGTGCAGATTTTTGTTTAACATTGTATTAACTATCCACTAACTATATACATATAGTAAGACAAATTCCTCTGAGTGTGCAGCTCCATTCTACATAAGGGCAACAGGCCTGGATTTATACTCCTTCTTGTGAGTTTTCCTACCCCTCTCCCCCCACAATCCCCTCTGCTACACATGCCTTTTAATATATTGCATGTAAAGTCTTCTTTTACAGTTTTGAGTTCATATTGTTATTATTGTGTTCCGCATTTTGAAGTTGTACTTTTATTTATTTTTCACACACGGTGTATTTGTTTATGTTACATTTGCCTCCTTTTGGTTTTTGTTTGAATTAAACATTATATTTAAAATCCTGTAAAGTGACAATTCTTGTTTAATATCTATTGTGTCAGCTTACAGATATAGGTTTAAATTATGTCAGCATTATAAAAATCTGCATTGCCCAAAACACCATCAGTACACCATTTCAGTTCTCAATATATTTGACTTCTTACCTGAGGTCCCCAATGCGCCCCTAGACATAACAGCCATGAGAGCCAAAAGCTCTTCAGCTCTCCTGAGCTAAGCCCTGCACCTCTGGCTTAGCTCAGACAGAGAGCGTTCGGTTCTCCAATAGCTGTAGTGGAGGCAGGAAGCAGTGCCTGGAATTCTCAACAATGGACGCTATAGTGAATAATGCCTGAAATTGCATTTGAAACTGAAGCTCTAACACACAGAGCTAGACTATTAACTTATACATGAAATCATCAAGTCTCTGTTCATACTATAGTGAGAACTCTGCATATTAAAAAGTCATATAAGACTCACGCTTGACTAGTGTGAAGACAAAAAAAAAGGACCATCACACACAGACACACGCACACACACACACACACACTCTTATTAATTTATTTATTAAAATATGAGAAAATGAAAATGCCTGTGTACTGTCCTTCTTGGAATCTCAATTTGCATATTTCCATATTATCATAATCTAGAAAGAATAATTTTTAATAGTGCTATGTTTGCCAGTGTGCAGGTGCCTGTGATTTATAATAATGATTCATGACAAGAAAAGAACATTTACTGCATATATGAAAAGGTATTTTGAATTTATTTGGGGTTTTTTTATAGACAGAGTAGTAATTCCTGCAATTAGCCACTTATTTGTCATTGTGAACCTGAAAAAGGGCTCACTCACACAACTAATATTGTTGACAGTTTAGACTAAAACGATCTGGGCGTGCAAACTAGTATAGCATGCTGGCCACTCCTCAGACTCATCAACATACACATCACACCCAAGCGTGTCAGTTTCCACAACCCTCGTTCCACCCTCAGTTGATATAACCTTTTATGGTTTTAATAAAACCATTCCCATCATGGTCAAAGTATTACTAGAGCAGAGTTTCTTAACATCAGTCCTCACAGGCCACTCACAGCGCAGGTTCTTAGAATCTCTTCATA